ACCAGACACAGAGAGGACACACCAAACACAGAGAGGGGACACCAGACACAGAGGACACACCAGACACAAAACATCAGGCACACGAGACCAGACACAAAACATCAGACACACGAGCCCAGATGCACGGCGCCAGACACACGCCACAGAGGCACATTTGCCACCCGTACAATTTGGACTTCGTGTAGTCTAAAGGGGGGCGCGTGGCTTAGGCAGGGCACACCATCATCATCACAACCAGCAGGGGCATGGTATCCGGCGGCGGGGCGGACAAGGCCTTAGCAGACCAGGGAAAGGAGACCATAGATCAGCTGGAGCAGCTGGGCATCCCCTACGACGAGCTTCACTTTGGCAAGCCCCATGCAGAGCCTTGATCTCATGCCAGCGTCCTCCCTGGTTCCTTTGTGTAAAGTATTGCTTTCACCTAGGGTTGGGAAAAACACAGCCATTTCAACAGAGGCTACGGACTGGAATCCTTGAATGCGTGGCTTCCTGGCATGCTTGTCTGACTTTGGTCGCAGCCCAGGATATTTATGTGGATGCCCAAGCTCTCAACAGCCAGGGCGACCTCAATAGAGACCTCGGGTGGTTCCTGCCACACATGGATGACGCTTTGGACGGCGCCATCGATGCGAGATCATTCAATTTGGTCAGGTCCTCTGGGAAGGCCGGAGATTGGCACAGGGTTGCTGGTGACTTTGCTTCTGGGATTGCGCGTTCTCATTCACACGGAAGCTGGGATCACCGGCGCCTTTTCCATATTCCCTCCCCCCTGCGGAGTGTTCCGGTAGGGGACGCCCTTTTGCATCTGGAGACGCCGAAAGGAAGGCTCATGGTGTCCACCCCGAGGCGCACGTCATCAAATCCTCGGCGCCGGATGTGCTGAGGGGCGAGTGCCACTGGTACCGCTCGATCCCCCCGGAGCTGAGCTGCTACTTCCCCCGGCCTGTTGAGATCCAAGAGGGTGAGGGCATCAGTTCGGTCTCGAGCATCACCATGGAGAAGGCCAGAGAGACCTTCTTTGCCCTTTTGAATCCTTCTGACCATTGGACTTTTGGACCTTTTCAACCCACATCTTAAGGATTCAATCTCAACCATGGCAGTGCTACGCGTGCCACCCAATGGCATGAGTCTTGACCATGGCACCATCAAGCCTGCGCCCTGAGGTTCAGGGGGTCACCTTCTCGCACCTGCTCACCGCTCGGCTGCTGATGCCTGAGTGGCTGCGGCGCCTGGTGCGAGCCCTGCACAGCATCCACCAGCAGCAGCCGCCGCCCGACTCCAAGGCAAATGTGCCTTCAACGAATCTACTTGATTGTGGTTGAACTTCTGCACATGTTGTATGTTGTTGTTGGCATTTGCGATGCTACGATCTCGCTCTAGTTTCGGACGAATGTCCTCTCATGCTACCACTTACGTAGTTGCATAAGCATCACAGATGTCGGGCAAACAACTGAGAAAACGTGAACTGCCCCCCCAGATCTTCCTGCGCGTTGGCTCGCCAGGTGGCACAAGAGCCAAAGGCCACCAATGCCCAGCTGTGCTCCAATTACGCTGCAAAGGCAAGGCGGATTTTGACCGGTACCGTGTTCCTATGCAGATGCATATGCCGCTTTGGGGTTGGCTAATGGATTTTGCTCAGCTGTTTTCTCTGAATGGGGTTCCCCAATGACACGCGTTTGTGCCGCGTGAGCATGCATTCAAGGTGTCAAAATGGTCATCCTTTGTTTGTTCCCTTCCGACATCGTTTGCGCCCCGCCCGCCAACAAAGGTCAAGAAGAGAGCCTTGGAGCACATCAGCCTGTATGATTCCCTGGCTGAGGAGTTGGGTGTCAATACGCGGCAAATGGCTGATGTGCTTCTCCGATTCTTGGATGACTTTGAGGCCGAACAGCGGTCGCTGCATGCCTACTACATCCACGGGGACCCCGTGTTTTCCAACATCATCCGAACCAACGATGATCAGCTTGTCATGATCGACATGCGCGGACAGCTTGGGAAGTTGATCACCACGCAGGGTGATGTGCATTACGACCTCAGCAAGGTCTTTCAGAGCCTTTGTGGCTACGACTTCATGCTCTTGGACCAGGTCCTAGACGAGCCCGCCTCCGAGAGCTTCGACAGCCTCCGGGCCGCCTTCTGGGAGGAGGTCAAGCTGCTGTACCCGGAGGTCTCGCACCGCCAGGTGCCATAGGGATGCAAATCCATGCAGAGTGGGGGGCGGGTGATCAGTTGGAGTCCCGATAGCTCAGTTTGCCTTCCCAGCTTGAGTGGCACCACATTGGCCCCATGCGCTGAGGTGCGCTTGTTGACGGCGGCTCACTTCTTCACCATCGTGCCTTTGCACGAGGTGAGATCCCGCATGGCAAGATACCTCCGTGCAGCTCATTCGATGCTACTTGTGGAGGGCTTGCTTTAGGCTGGCGGCAGATGGGGCTGAACAAAGGATGTCGGCCAATGGTGCCGGCGTTTAGGCCGCCAAGTTGCCCGTGAACCTCGGTGTTGCAGAGCGAGTCTTTTTGTACGGCTGCGTGGATTGTGCATATGGTATCGACACCTATCTCTGGTGTACAAAGCGAATTCGGGAGGAGAGTGGCATCTGGGCAAAAGCAGCCCAGCAGCGCTTCTCAGGGCACAAATTGGAGCGCCAAATGGCCTCGAGCCTCAAGCGCTTGGGAGAAAGTTGGCAGCTTGCCGCACCGTTTGGGGTGTTCATGAGACATGAGTGCCATGCTGCTTTAAGGTGGTATTGGGAACAGAGTGTCAGCAGATGTGGGCTTTGCTTGCTGGATCTTTGCCTTCCTCTACCCTTGGCAGGTTGACAAGTAAGCTAGGGCTGGCAGACTTGCGTTTTGCAAGGTCGCCTCCGCCCGGGATAGATGAGATTGCCTCAGTGGCCAAAGCGATCACCGAGACAGAAGGCGTGGCGGGTGTCGCCTGTGCATCGCTGGTGCTTGGCCAAGCCATGATCTTGCATTGCCAGGCTTTGATTTGGTCGTGTTTGACACGGCACCCACAGGCGACTGGGCTGAAATTGATTTGTCGGCACCTGTTTGATAGGGACTATTTAGGAGGCCCAAGAACGGGATGGCACACGGCCGTCCTTTTTCCCGGGCTGGGAATTCGCCAAGCAAGGGTGCGTCCACGTTAGGCCACACGCTTCGGCTCCTGGAGGTGCCGGCCTTTCTTATTGGCTGGGGACTCGGAATTGTTCCCGCTCTGCTTTGCATGCCTGTTTTTCCCCAACAGCTGAAAGCTTTGGGGTCTCAGCCCAGGCTCCGGGGTGGTCCGGGGCGGCCCTGAGGTAAGGTTCCACGAGGGTTTCACGAGGGTTCGACGAGGTTGCGAGGGCTGCGGGGTGGTGCGAGCGCTAAAACGAGTACCGCATGCTGTTGGGGATATCACCTGAGCTTATTTTCTTTTGTACGGCATTTTGCGACGGCAGGCTTGGGGAGTCAATGAAATGCTTGCCTGGCTCAAGCCATAGGTGATTCTTTTTTGGAGCTTGTTGGTTTGAGTCCCGTCGGTTCAGCGGTTGCGCCGGACAAGCCATTTATGCTGACTGTCTCGCAGTCAGGAGCCTTTCCTTTCTGGAGTAAGGGCCAACACCAGCTGCAGGCTAAATATTAGGTAAAACCATCGATGTGGCACGGAACGTGTCAGGGGCCCTTCAGACCACCATCCTGTGCCAAGGCTTCATCGATCGAGCCCTCAGCGTGCGCAAGAGCATCGGCAGCGTGCACGGGCTCCAAGACCCAACAATGGGACGCCCTAATTGAGAGCGGCACATGCTAGCTCCAAGTCGAAACTCTGCCCGAACTTCTAAGATCCGGCTAGTTTTTCACGGGAGGGTCCAGGAAGAGAATTGCCTGCTGGATGAGGCTAAAACCTGAGTGAAGCAACAGCATGAGCAATATGGACCCACAGAACGGGGTAGACGCGGGTAACGCAGCTGGTTGTGCAAGTTCAAGTTGCCCCTCATGAATCTCAACAAATAAGTGAAGGTGATATCCCCAACAGCTCCGGAACCCTCCAGAGCCGTCCCGCAAAGCGGCCCCCAAGCCACCCCAGAGCTCATCCGGGTAGAGACCCCATAGCGTTCAGCTGTTGGGAAAACATGTGGTTGGGCAGCTTTTGAGCCACGCCATGTTTGATCCTGTGTGGTGCGGTCTTGGCTACCCAGGATTGAAACGGCGTTTCCAGGTCCAGAGCATTATTTGAAGGTGTGAGGATGTAATCCCACTTACATTAGATCTTGTTCTGAGCATACCTGGTGCAGATTATTGCAGCGTTCTTTTCCACCAGCACAGGTAGGGCTCAAGGCCCCTCTGCAGAGTGGAGGTGCAGTTTCTGGCTTATTTGTAGCCTCGGCAGAGGGTGGATGCGCACAGTTGCAACCATACAGGAGGCCAATTTGCCCCGGAACTAACCCAGACTTTCAATCACCATGCAACACCCCAGCCGCATGAGCCAAGAACTTGACAGCACATCAATCCGTGGCAAGATCTGTTGGAGCCTGTGGAAGCTGCTCAGAAGGTAGACCGCATTCTGTGAAGGTTGCTCGTAGATTGGACTGCATGCAGTTGCTACTTGATCTTGCTTTTGGCCTGCGGTTTGCCCTCAAGCGAGCCCGCAGCTCCATTCCCAGAGAGAAAAGGGGTGTCTGGCCTGTTGCTACAGCCACTGGGTGCGGGGACGGGGTTTGACTCCATGCGGCGCCATGAGCTCGCGCGCCTTCCCCTCGCTCTTTGGCGGCGAGACGCCCGAGCTTTGCGGTTCAGAGGAGGCACGGTGGGTGGCCAGCATGCGATCCCACAGATTGCGAAGTCAACAGCTAGAGGTGACCCAGAAATTGTTCGCAGGAGGACCTGCGCTTGCGCCTGGCTGTGCTGCGGGGCCGCTTGGCTGCGGCGCAGCTGCAAGCGGCTGCGTTACGAGGTGGGGCGGCCCTGCCGCAGGCACTGCGAGAGGTCGAGCAGGCGTGGGGAGGGGGCGGGGGGGGGGGGAGAGAATTGGATCTGAGCCAGAGCATGCAGGATGTGGGGCTGCAAGTTGGCTGGTTGCTGCTGCGCAGGCATTGGACCTGGTAGCAGAAGCGGAGTCGCAGCCCAGCAGGCAAAGGGTTGTTGTGGGTGTCGCGGGGTCGCCTGTCATTTATACTTCCCTTGGAGAGAATGAAGCTACCTAGGGGCATTCCGGAGTTGTTTAAGCAAGGCTCCAGAAGTTTGAATTCCCTGACCCCCTATGGTTTCCGGGCGCTGGCCAATGCGCAGTAATATGAATCATTTTAGAACAGAGCTCGCCTTATTCCTCCTAGCACTCCGGAGCCAGGGGCAGTGACGACGACCGGATCGATGACATTGACTGGCTGAGCCCGGATGTGACCAGCGGTGGTCGGGCCTTTCGCAAGCCGCAGGCGGGCTTGCCAGCATGGCAAGCGCACTGCGATAAGGCAGGCGAGAAGGCAGGCGCTTGCACGTGTGCCAACAAACAAGGGTGCGTCTCGTGGCCTCAGGCCCGCGAGCGCGAGGGCGACCTCAGCCTCACAGCTGCCGCGTTTGGGGGGCCCTGGCTGCCCCGGCGGCTGGTGGGCTCTGAGCAAGATCCATCCAAGGAGCCCGGACTGGCGGCATGGGTCGAGGTCGTGCATGTGCTTCGACCTGTTGCTTTCTCAAGCCACTCGCCTCATGCGTTTAGAATTCAACGCTCCGGTAGCCTTGGCTGCCCTTGCTGCCTGACTTTTGGTGCGCGAGGCCTTTGAGGAGCTGCTGCTGAGCTTGGAGATGTGCCGCCGGGACCGGGGCCGGTACTTCGACCAGGGCATGGAGTGCCGCGAGCTCATCCTGCGCCTTGAACGAAGACGGACAGATTTGTGGCTGGGTCGTTCGATTTTACGTGACGTCCGACAAGCCAAGTACGATCAGCCATTCATTTCCTGTGCAATATCCTCTGCAAATCCTTGACCAGAACAGCTGAGAGGCCGCCAGACAAGCACTTCTGAGGCCCGAGCCCAACAGCTGTGACAGACCAGACCCATCTTTGGGGCGAGACTGAGTGAGTCTTGAGCCTCGTGCCTTCCAGAGTCCAGTCCGCAGCTGGACTGGCCTATCCCTGGTGTCTGCGAGGCGTGAAACGGCAGTGCGGGAAGCGTCGCCAATGCACTTCCCGACACTCGTGACCTCTTCTTCTTGCTCACAGCGGTGCTGGATGATCAGAGAGAGTGGCAGACCTAGCTGGGCAGACCCAGAGGTTCTTTGAGACTCCGCCGGGCCCGGCCACAATGACCTAAACAAACTGTGCCAGACTGGATCGCTGGCTTTCTGCGAACTGGCAGCGGCCCTTGATGTGCGAAACTGGGCTTTTTCACGGCTGGCTGGCCATTCGGGTGCTTTGGATGGTGCGACCTGCGCGCATGAGCCCAGCATGCAGAACCTCGCGGGCGGGCCGAGGCGCGCCAGCCGCAGCTCCAGCAGTGCCCCGGCCACCAGCCGCACCGCCAGGGCAACGGCGCAAGCCGCGCAGGCCGAGGGACCGCGGGAGCGGCCGCAGATTCGGGTTGCTTCACTTGGGGGGCGCAAGACGTGTTTGGCCCAATCTTCGCCAAGCGCTTGGGCGACGCGATCGGTGAACTCGAAAGCCAGGCGGCGTTCGCCGCACCGCGGGCTGCCACGCCTCGGGCCCGCTTGCCGCCTCTGCCGCCCAAAGCGGGCAGGCGCTGGGACAACTTCTGGCAGGAGCCGGATGGCTGGACTGACAAGGGTTTTGCGAGCTGCTTTTGCGTGAACTGGGACGAGAATGTTCCAGTCACTGCATCCAAACCAGCAAGGAACTGAGGTTGGACTTGGGCTTGTTCGTGTAGGGACATTCATGCAGTTTTGATCGCCTGCATCAAGCAAGTAGCACGTGATGATTCGAGCTCTAGACACTTCACCCGAGACTCACATGCCATCAAATCGAAATGGACTATGCTTGCTGTTCGTTTGCCCCTCACCCGGGGTCCACAAGGAAACCGACACTTTGACAGGGCGCCGCCTTCGCTCCTTCCCTTGCAGCCGCCAGCTTCAGCACTGTCGCTGGCCAGGAGCTCACCAGTAGCGACCCCGCCATCCTCCGGAAGAGCCCCCGGCGCAGCGCGAGCCGCGAGGAGCGCGCGAAGCCGGCATCTTGGCTGCGAGCCCAGCCTTTGTCTCCTCAGTCCTCTTGCCATGTTGGCATCTGGTTTGGATGAGTCCTCGTCCTCGGCTTCCTGTTTGTGAGGGAGTTCCAGGCATAGACACTTTTGTTGCAGAGAGTGCGGGGTGAGGATGTCAGACTTCTTGTTTTTGCATGGGCGGGCCAGCAGCTCCTTGACATTCCAGGCAGGTGCAAGGATTATATAGCCGAAGCGAAAGGCGTAACCCAAGCACATGAGGACGCGATGTCGCGGCACCTGGAAGAGCGCCAGGAGCTGGAAAGGCCCGTGCCACGTGGCAATTGCATGTTTATGACATCGACGGTTGGTTTAGGGTTGGGTCGAGTTTGGATTAGGGTTGGGTTGGGGCTGGTTTAGGGTCGGTTAAGGGTTGGGTTGGGGTCGGTGTAGGATTGGTGCAGGGTTGGTTAAGGGCTGGTGTAGGGTTGGTTTAGGGTTGGTTTGGGATTGGTTTACGGTTGGTTTAGGGCTGGTTTAGGGTTGGTTGAGGGTTGGGCTGGGGTCGGTGTAGGATTTGTGTAGGGTTGGTTTAGGGCTGGTTCAGAGTTGGTTTAGGGTTGGTTTGGGATTGGTTTGTGCGTGGTTTAGGGTTGGTTTAGGATTGGTTTAGGGTGGTTTCAGGGCTGGTTTAGGGTTGGCTTTGGGTTGGTTTAGGGTTGGTTTCGGGTTTGGGCTTGGTTTAGGCTTGGTGTAGGGTTGGTTTAGGGCTGGTTCAGGGTTGGTCTAGGGTTGGTTTGGGATTGGTTTGTGCGTGGTTTAAAACGTTTAGGGTTGGTTTAGGCTTGGTTTACGACTGGTTTAGGGTGGGTTCAGGCTGGTTTAGGGTTGGTGTAGGGTTGGTTTAGGGTTGGTTCGGGGTTTGTTTGGCTTTAGCCATTGTTACAACAAGCTGTGACATCATGGCGTAATTTGGAATGACAACCCAAGGTTGCAGCAGCATCAGGTAATGAATCACCAAATTCGAGGTGCGCCCCTTGCACAGCAATTGCAGGCCCATTGCGCAATCAATCATGTCGATCCCATGGATGCAGTTGACGGCCAAAGCGACCAGCCCGGCAGCAGGCAGCTCTGCTTCTGGGAAGCGGAGACCCTCAAGCTTTGTGAGCGTGGGCACCCCAGGGGGCAGGGACGCTTGGTCTTGCTGGTTTTTACGGTGGCAGGGTTCCATGGACAGTGCGTTTTGCATGAAATTTGACAAGTTGGACCTCAACCTTGGCCCCTCGTGTGTGGACCAACTTGCTGCTGGGAAAGGGAACGTTGTGGTCAGCAGGCAGGCACTTTAGGTATCTCAGCTTTGCTTGCAGTCTCTTTAGGCCCCCGGGCAAAGTCGCGGTCTTTGTGTGAAAGATGATCCCTTGCGCGATGGTCTTTAGTTGACAGTGTGACATGAGCTTTGGGTTCACGCGTGCTCATCTCGGCCTTCAGCTGCCCTCGTCGATGTTCAAATATACTGGCTTTGTTTTACTTTGTATGTCTTCGGTCGGTTTGCGCAGATGAGATTTCTTCTCCATTATATAGTCCTGACATGATACCGGCTTGCTTGTGACACATGTTTCGATTCGGCGGGTGCTTTGCCTTTTGACCCTTTGGCTTCTAGTTTGCACCCATTGCATCAAACGTCAATGTTTCGCATCTAACAGCCATTTTGCATACGTAAGATAAAAGCAATACTACCTGGAAGGACTGTGCAAGGAATGTGCAGCACTTTCAGTGACCAGGATTTGAGGCAACTTCCACAATTTGTCGAGCAGACGTGCTCATGGAAACAAGGACTGTGAGCTAGCACAAGTAGACGAGCCTGGCAAAGCGTCTTCGTACACTTGGCGGCATTGATCAACATCCTCATTTTCCTGACCACTCATCGGATATACTGATGTACCCCACATTCTGACGCTCCTTATGTACGCCTTCTGGAACTGATATCGTTAATGAAGAGAATGACCAGGCTGTCTGCCAGGTGAAGGAGGTGTCGGCAAATGCCCGCCTGTTTGCTGTTCTTGACACCTTCAGAACACATGGCAGATCGGCTGGTGCCCGAGACACCGGCAAGAACGGCGACAGATTTGGGGCCGGGGTGAAGTCTGCTTCGACGCGCGGTATGCCTCAGGCAGCCGCCGCGCCGACGCCATGCTGCGCTGGGCCGGGCAGGTGGCCCGGGCCCGGCAGCGCCTGGACGAGGCCAGGGAAACCGTCGCTCGCGTTGCTCGCGTTGCTCGTCGGTTCAAAGGGTCCTTGGGTTGGCCTTCTGCGTCTGTCTGCGTTTGTCTGCCTGTCTGCCTGATTGCCTGTTTGCCTGTCTGTCTGTCTGTTGCAATATCTGTTGGACGCTTTGCTTGGCTACTGACTGTTGTGCCATGAGTCAAGAGTCAAGATGAATCTTTGTTGGGTGTTTTGGACAGGCTGGCCTCCAAGTCTTAGCAGATGCGCCTACGCGTAGTTCGCGCAAAGCTGATGGGAGACTGCCTTCCAGCGACGCCCAGCCAACCCAGCTCATCCTTTTGTTGGCGTTTGGGATGGAGCGCAGGCAACCTTCCGGCTGCTGGCGCTGTTGACCCCAGAGCGTGCAGCCGGGGCGCAGGCAAAAGGAGCGAAATATGCATAGCTGGGGGCGATTTGGGCGAATTTGGGCGAAGTTCAGCTTGGCTTTGGGCGGCTCTCTGGCTATTTGCGAGCTTGATTTCCCACACAGGAATCATGAAATTGGGTCACGAGATGATTTGTGAAAATCAATGCTTTGTTCGGGTGTCCTCCACCTCATCTCAGCATCACTTTGTTTGACAACATTTCAGGCACCCAGGGGCCCAGGGGATCTTGCAACGAGCCACAGCTCAAGCCTTTGGTCAGGGGACTTTATTCCTGTTTTCCCCTGACCAAACCCTTTGGGGGGTGAGCCCACTTGGCCTTTTGTCGCATCGAGGCTGGGGATGCTTGGACTTGGCCTCGCCGCCGGCTCGGACGACAAGTTGGACGAGGCGCCGCGCCTTTTAGCTGTAGGCTGGATGTGCTCCGGATGTGACACAAATTCCCCCGGTTCCGGGTCGACTCTTGTTGGCTTGATGAATGCTCAATGGCTCAATGCTTTTGTTGCACCCTTTCTGCGCAGAAGCCGCTTGGCCCAAGAACACGTGCATGAGGCATGCCTCAACAATGCACTGGTGAAACCTCCCAGGCTCAACCAGTCGAAGCAGCTGATTGCTTGATGAAAAGAGGCACTGGTCATGTTGGCGGGCTAGAACTTTCTTTGTCCGAGTTTCCCTAAACTTTGGGGCCTGTCAACCATTGGTGCAGCACTGCCATGCTTCAACATCCACACTCTCCCGTTGGCACTGTTCTCAGAAGTTCCCTCTGACAGTGGCGCAAGCTTTCCAAGCTCGATGCTGCCGCTCGCGGGGCTGCCAGCCCGTGCGGCCTCTGCGGCCCCTGCGGCCTCTGCGGCCTCTGCGACCCCGCCCCGCGTGCTGCCACAGTCACAGCTGGCCTTGGGTCGACGAGGACGGTGGGAGGGTGGAGGCAAAAGAAAAAAAGCCAGGCAATGTGGCATGGCTAATGCTAAGCTCACTCACTCCAAACTTCCAGAAAGTTGGCCACTTGCCTCCTGGTTCACCTCTTCGTTGGCCTTTTGCAAGATCTACCGCTTCCAAGGGACTTTCGGGACAAACAGAGGGCTCGATTGCACATCCACGGTTTCCATCAACACTGTTCAGCTGCACTTTGCCATGGGTCCGTGCAGAACGTCAAAGCCCACAAGCGTAGTGGGTGAGAGGGAGAAGAGGGTGGGAGCTTTACAGGCACAATCTAGGCAAGCACGAAGTGCAAAACATGAGTATGAAACAGGCCTTTCCAGGGATCCGTTTTGATCCAGAGCCAAAACCTTTGTCTCACCCTCGCTTTTGGAAGCCAAAGGGCAAGGGGTAGCCGACGCGGTGTGTCAGGCCTGGCGGGCTTGGTCTTGGGGCTGCCCAAGGCTTGCGCCGCCAAGCCGGACGCCTCGGCGTCGCGGCTGCGGAGAGTGCAGGCGAGCCATTATTGGACTTCCGTTTGGACTTCCGTTTTTTGTTTTGTTTTTTGCTTGGACTTCCGTTCGGAACAATCTTGTTGACCGTATTTGGAGGGTCTTGGCCAGGTCCCAAGGCCACCATTGGCTGCAGCATGAATGGATCAGGCCTTGTCGTCGCGTCGCGCAGGTGCCTCTCACAAAGGAAAAGCCGCCAAAGAAGTCCCCAGCGCGGCAGCGCGTGTGGATGCTTGGCCGGGAATGGAGAGTGGGCTCTCCAGCCTGACACTGTTAGATGCCCAGCCATCCACAAACCATCGCAAAGAGACAAGCCGAGGACTGCACGGAAGGGCTTGCAGGCCATCGACCAAGTCTTCGTGGAGCTGCTCGAAGAGGACCGGGGTGCCGCCCTGCGCCGGGAACTGCAGAAAGCGCGGGCCTCAGGGAAAGCGGAGGGCGGCTGGGGTGGGGTGGGGGGTTGCTGAGGCAATGCATTCCGCGCCTCAGAGCCCAACCGCTCAGGTCATCGTAGCCCTAGGGCCAATGGAGCAGCTGGCGCAGGAGTTGGTGGATGAGCCAGGATGGCATGGGCGGGCTTGGCTTGCTCCCAGAACGCTTTCCAGAGCTTTCATTGTTTTTTTACACATACCTCAGTAACAATACTGAGGATTACCATCAAATCTTGAGCCGTTGCTTGTGCTCCTGCAACTATTCAGCACATGAAGTCAAACTTTGACATGTGCAAAGCAAGCACAGACAATTGAAATATGATATTGACTCCCACCATCTCCCACCGCTCCCGCCGCAACAACACTCCTAGACAACACGCATTGCACACAACATCGATTTGCATTCCCATCGGTGACCCCACGCGTGCGGAACAAAGAGCAGAACAGCACGTCGAGATCGCTCTGTTTCTGCCAAGGTGCATGCTTAAAACATTGCGGTGAGTTGCAATGTTGTGTCCGTCTACTTTGAATCTTCCCAGGTGCTGGGAATTGTCACCCCTCTTGGATGCTCATGTTGCCAGTCTTCCATTTGCTGGTCATAGCTCTTTGTTTTGCTTGCTTGCTTTGATGGAGCGGTATTTGCTCTGGCGCTGGGCATCGCGCATGCCGTCGCCGGGCAGTTCGCGTGACTGACATGTCTTTTTCCTTGGTCCAAAGCGTTGGGGAAAGGCAAGCGAGTTCCACAGGCGATGTGAACGACCCCGATGCCGTGGTGGCAAAGACGGACGCCTTGGGCCGGCAGCTGAGGCTTTCCGTGGCCTGGAGCAACGAGGCGCGCTTGGGGACTCACCGGAGACGTGAAGAGTCCGGAAGCGGAAATGCTGAGTGTACCCAATGTTTGGGGAAATGGCCGGGGTGGGGGAGACATTTGAATTTGGGCAATGCCCTGGACGCAAGAATCATTGTGTGTCGAACTTGTCGCTTTCAATTGTGCACTGGTGGCCTTTTGACATCGGGACCGGCCAAAAGACAAGACCGCACAACAATTCCTTGGCCTTCTGGCCTGCCGTCAGCCAAGTGTGTTCAGGCAGACGACTGTTGGAACTGGTCCTGCAACGCTGCCTGGCTGACAAGTTAGGTGCGGGTGATCAAGTGCCAACTGCACCCCATCTTGGGCCGGGGCTGCAGCGGGACCTTTCTGGATATTCCGATTTCCAGCATGCTTCTCCTTTCCCTCTGGCCAGCGGGCAACTGAGTTCATGACAGAATGCAACGAGAAGAACTTATTCTGGTGCGGTTTGGTCTGCAGATTCTGAGGTTCAGGAACTGGACGAGGCGCGCAATTGCTTTTTGGATGCGGTGGACATTCTGCTGGACTTGGAAGACTTCTGATGCGCCTCTGGCCATGGCGTGAGACAAAGATCTCATGAGATGAGCAAGGCAACTGCGGAAGCATGCGCAGTGATGCCTGCATGCTCGCTTGGACAAGGAATGTGCCAAAAAGAGCTGTCGGTGGAGTGTGGCATCAAAACGTCCCATTTTGCGAGTGCACTCCGATGAATGTCCAAAATTGGTGGATCTACGATGCCACGTTCCGCATACCAAGCAACGCTGGAGCTGGCAGGCGGAGCGGAAGGTGAGGTCCATCCGCGATCGGGCGCCCTGGTTGCAGAGCGGCCAAGTTTGTTTTGTGGGCAAGTGCTCATGCCGGAAAGTACCCATTGGTGGTTTGGGGCAGCTGGCGTTGTGTGACCTCTTGCGTTTTTCGGGCAAAAAAGTCGGCGTCGCCAGTTTGGATGCCGCTGGAAAGCCCAGGTGACTTTCCTGGGCAAGGCGTTGAAGACGGCGCCGGGCGGGGCTGGAGCCAGCGCAGAGCCCGGGGCCAGGCTGCGCTTAACCCCCGTGTCTGGGGGTTCCCGTCTCGCAGCCTTTCTGAAACTCGCCAGGCAATCTTTCACGAAGCGTGGGGTGACTGGGACGGTCATGAAGGCTTCAATCGCCTTTAAGGATCCTGGTAGAAGGAACCCCCTTCCCCTTGGGTATCCTTTTTGGTGCCAATGGGATGTGTGTGAGCAAGCGGGGCAACCGCTCAAAGATATTTGGCATTTGTATACATGCACGCATACATACATGCACATATATGCAGCATGGCATCTATAAATAGTATATATTATATATATATATATATTGTATATATCTTATGTTGCTTCTGGGTATCTATGTCTGTCTGTCTGTCTGTCTGTCTGTCTGTCTGTCTGTCTGTCTGTCTGTCTGTCTGTCTGTCTGTCTGTCTGTCTGTCTGTCTGTCTGTCTGTCTGTCTGTCTGTCTGTCTGTCTGTCTGTCTGTCTGTCTGTCTGTCTGTCTGTCTGTCTGTCGGTCAATCTCTGCAAATAAGTAAATAGCACAGGAAACATTCAATACGCCAATCAATAATCAACACATGACAACAGGAAATTGACGTATATATATATATCGTGCATATATATATATATATGTATATACATGTGCCATATATACATATGGATACGTACATTTTTGTAGCATCTACAGGCTTACACTTAGGGATCACCCGCAGAGGTTCGTGGTGGTGACCCGGCCCACTGAGCTCGATGCCGACGAGGCCCAGCGCCTCGCCGGGGACCCCAGTGGCACCGTTCCGCAAATTTGGTGGCCCCAAAACAACTTGAACGCTTTCACGGGGTTGTGGACTCAAGTATTTGCACGGGTAATCAAAAAGGGTGGAACCCTGCGCGGGCGCGCTTGGGTCGCCAGCGCAAGGGATTCCTTGTGTGGCGCTGTGCATGGACAAAGGGGATCAGGGGCCGGGGGTATGAGGGGGCAACGCCCGGCAGCTTCCGGTGCACACTTTTTTCTTGCAAGGGGTCACCGTTCATCAAGCCATGCTCAGGTGCACGAACTCAAGGGCCAGGGCATTTGTTGTCGAAGGTGGGGGCCGGGGCTGTCCGTTTCACTGCGTGTGGGCGAGGCATGGAGGTCATCAGCTGCAGGGTCTTTGACATGACTTGACATATGTGGGCAGCAAGTAGTCGCACGCGCGTGGAGAGGAGTTTGCTGCAAAGCTGCTGGGCATTGAGGGGTGAAATGCATGACGGGCCTTTTTTCCTAACCTATGGTCCAGGCTGACCTGCTTTCCTTGTGCAGTCCGAAAGAGAAACGTGACGGCTTTTATTTAGCTCTCCTTTTGCGAGCTTGTATAAATCAAGCATGGTAAGAAGTATGTTCCTTTTTTGAGTACTATCCCCCCTCTCGCGCGTCAGGCGTCCCAAGTCCCTATCGCATGCTATCCACCCACCCCGCCCTGGTGAGCCGATAGCATCCCCCCCCACCAACCCCAGACTTTCGACTGACTGACTGACTGACTGACTGGCTGGCTGGCTGGCTGGCTGGCTGGCTGGCTGGCTGGCTGGCTGGCTGGCTGGCTGGCTGACTGACTGACTGACTGACTGACTGACCCCCGACTGACTGACTGACTGACTGACTCACTCACTCGCTCACTCACTCACTTGCTCGCTTGCTCGCTCACTCGCTTCCTGACTAACCAACCAACCAACCAACCAACCAACCAACCAACCAACCAACCAACCAACCAACCAACCAACCAACCAACCAACCAACCAACCAACCAACCAACCAACCAACCAACCAACCAACCAACCAACCAACCAACCAACCAACCAACCAACCAACCAACCAACCAACCAACCAACCAACCAACCAACCAACCAACCAACCAACCAACCAACCAACCAACCAACCAACCAACCAACCAACCAACCAACCAACCAACCTTTGAGTGCATGATCCTTGGTTGGGTGCAGGACGACTGCATTTGAGTCAGGGCTTGGCCAATGTGCTATATATGTTTGATTTGCACGTCAAGGTTTAAGCCGCCTTGCGTTAGTGCTGCGTGCGCTGGGTAGTTTTCTGGTTCAGGCTGGTGGTGAACCAGATTATCGAGCCAGAAAGTGGGGAGCCCTACTGGAAGGCCCGCGTGGAGGCTCAGGGCAAGGCGGGGACGCCCGCATGGCAGAGGGTGAGGTTCCACCCGGCAAGATGATTCCGGTTTCTGACCAAGTCCCGTTGTTGCACACATTTTGCTTTTGTGACAAGATGATCTTATTAATTCTGCGGCAGGATTGGCCCAAAGCATGCCTCCGCACTCCGCAGGTCATGGATAAGCTCAGACAGGTCTGCAACGAGTGGAAGGTCCCCCTGTTCGAGGCGGCAGCCGCAGGTCAGTGGTGTGTTGCGGAGGGGCGGAGCAAAAGCACTACTGTTCCGAAGCAGGGGGGTTTCCACTCAAAGGCACAAATGAAAGCCTGGCTGTTCAGCGAAGCCCTTTGCTCTACTTGTTCTTGAGCAACTGCGAGGCTTGCTTGGGACCAAGAGGAATACCAGTCAGTTTGTAGAAACAGTTGTGTGCGTACGCAAGTGCCAGTTTGCAGCTTGTCAGTTTCCCAGCCCAGCATCAGTGGAAACAGCCGGCTGCCGTTTTGACACTTGAGAGCTCTACAGGTGGGCGACCGACCCGAGAATCTTGTGGGTCCACCTGCTCTAGGATATTTGGCACGCACCTCAGTGAAAGCGTGGATGGAAGCTTATGCAGACTTGGCATCTCCCCCCCAAAAGCAAAAGCCCCCCCCAAAGCCCCCCAAAACCCCAAAAGCCCGAAAGACGGTCGCTCAAGTCGCCGAAGTAGATACCTTGTCCGATACGGCTCCGCTCGTGAGGCCTCACTCGCCTTTGGTGACGGTGCCCTGCCCTCCACGCAGGTGACCCTCTTTGGGGGCAAGGGCGGCGTGGGGAAGCGCCCTGGCTGAAGACGTCGCGGAGCGACGTGGGAGGCGCTTCACATAATTTCATGTGTTCGTGGGGCAGCTATGCCATTCGATGAGCAAAATGAACTCTGCTTTCCTTGTGCGCTTCAGCTATGCCATTTTTTCAGAGTATCGAATCCTTCGATCTCAATGTGTGTCAGCCTGCCCGGCCTAGGACCTCCATGAGCTCGGCGATGGCAGTCAAGACAGCCATGGAGGGCCAAAAGGCGCGCCCGGTTTTGGCTCGAAGGCCACATTTTCTTGTTCTTCCCTTCTCATGTGCTGAGCTGAGCAGGGGTAGGGGACACCAAGCAAGGTGGTGGGACAGTCTGAGAGCTGGGCTCTTACATGTGTTTGCGACCATGGAGGCAGCAGAGGTGTTGCCGGTTTGGGATGCTGGCAGGTGCTCATCATCTCCACAGATCCGGCCCACTCCTTGGGCGACGCCCTGGGGTGCGAGCTCTCGGCCGGCGGCCAAGACAGGTGGCCCATGTGGGGGAAGCTTCTGGTCAGAACGGGCCGCGTTTGAAATCTGAAGGGTCTGGGGAAGTCCATTGGCAGCCTTGGGCAAATCCGCTGGCTTCTTTTCGGCTCGCAGGCTCCCTGTTTTTGGGGCCAGCGGTGCACCCGGCAGCTTCCCTTGGGAATGTGCCCGCGGCTAGGCTGAAGGCCTCGCCGCCAATGGCGGTCCGCGCTTTTTGGGTGCGCGCCTGGTCCTTTTGGGCAGCACTGCTAAGCAGTGCCGCTCAGAAGCAGGCGGGGCCTGGCGCATGACGAACGCAGTGAGTTGAAATTGTGCCATCACTCGATCCAGTTTGACCTTGGGAGTGGGTTCTGCAAACGTTAAGTCCCAAGGTTGGGAGGTCTTTTTGGTTGCGCTGGCCTTGTCTGGCAATGGTTTTGGGGTCCTCGGCGAGGTGGCGGGCAACATGGAGTTCGCCTCCCAGATGATTTTGGGCATGGACAACAGCTGGCAGCAGGACAGAACGGTGCCCACCCGGGCACTGCCCAAGCCTCACAACAGAATGATCCGAGGCCCCCGTTTCGGCCATCGGAGGCCATTTCACTACAAGACTTCAGGCTGAATGATATCGTTGCAGTGGTTCGTGGTTCTAGGTGTGATGCCTTGTGAACGTTGATTTGGGGCTCCACTGAATCAATGTTACCATCATGCTGAATCTGCAGTGCTCTCGTTCCAGAGTGCCTCATCTTGCCTTTGAGTATGAGGTTGATTTTAAGAAGGCAGAGGCACCAGCACCAGGCGCAGCCAAATAAGTTGCTAGGGGTGTAATGTGGTTGAGACGGTCACCTGTGGAAAGTGGCAGGCCACCACCAGCACGGCGCTGCACAGTGCGGGGCTGATGGGCTTCGGACAGGTCTTGGGCCTAGGCGACACGGGTGTGAAGGCTGGTTCTGCGTGCTCCTTCGTGTCTGCATGTCGCGAACACACAGCAGGAATTAGCAATGCACAAGTGCGTCTAGTTTTAGGCCTACACATGCATCACGCGCAGAATGTTCCTGGTGTGTTCATGTTTTTTTCTCACGCGGCAGGTTGCACGCATAACGTACTCATATGTACGCTGATCTTGCATCTGGTGCTTGCCACGCTTTGATATGTTGATCTTGCTGCAGCAATGCTGAATGATGCTTATGCAGAGGCAAGCTGAGTTTTTTGACGCACGCAGCGTATGCGGATGTGCAATTTGATTGCCATAATTCAGGGCGCAGATTGGTGACAGGTCCACCATTTCTTTTCACTTAGTGGCATTAACTGTCATCAGTTCTGTGTGTGCAACTCTTTGAAAGCTTTGCTATTGCCTTTTGCATTCTTAAGCAAGGCTCGTGTGCCCTTCACGCGTCTTGCGCATACTTGAGTGGAACTGTGCATTTTAGCAGCTGGTTTTGGCATTTGTGTTCACTGCACATTTGGGCTGCCTGGGGCTGCTGGGGCTGCGCTTTCAGGCGGATGGCTGTGCCTTCTTCGATCCTGCGGCCTTTGTGCCCTTCGAAAGCGTCAGTTCCACGCACCGGAAGCTGGCGGGCTACTTCTCCTCTGGCGGGGCGCCTTCGCCTGGGTAGCCTCACCTGGGGGTGGGTTGCTGTGTGAGGGTGGCATAGCGGTGGTTTGGTAAGGGAGGGGTATTTATTTTAGGATTTTTTCTTCGTTTTTTTTTTTTTTTTTTTTTTTTTTTTTTTTTTTTTTTTTTCCGCTTTTGGCTTCTTGGCTTCTTGGCTTCTTGGCTTCTCGGCTTCTTGGCTTCTTGGCTTTTCGGCTTCTTGGCTTCTTGGCTTCTCGGCTTCTCGGCTTCTGGGCTTCTTGGCTTCTTGGCTTCTTGGCTTCTTGGCTTGTTGGCTTGTCGGCTTTTCGGCTTCTTGGCTTCTCGGCTTCTGGGCTTCTAGGCTTTTCGGCTTTTTGCTGGTTTATGCGGCTTTTGGTGGCTTTTTGGCTTTTCGCATCATCTGCATTCCCAGTTCCTCTTCGGCAGGTGGCGTTTTCCCGACATCATGGGGGGGGCTGCCGCCCCCCCCAACCCCCCCGCTACGTTTTAGATTTTCTGCAGAGATTTAATTAGTTGCAATTTTGAATCATCAATTCTTCGAACATCATGGGGGGGGGCTGCCGCCCCCCGCAACCCCCCCGCTACTTTTTAGACTTTTTGCAGAGATTTAATTGCACCCCTAGTCAAATCATCACTTCTGCAAACAACTCGTGGGGGGGGCTGCCGCCCCCCCCCCAACCCCCCCGCTACTTTTTATATTTTTTACAGGGATTGACATGCCCTCCTACTTGAATCATCATTTCTTTGACCCCGTCACACGACTTGTGGGTGATGCTAGGGATGTTGGTGGGACATGCGGGGTATATTTCGCGAGAACATGCTGTAAAATACGACACTTTACTGGCCCGGCAGAGATTGAATTGCACCCCTGTTTGAATCATCACTTTTTCGAGCGTCCAATTTCGCGAGAAAATGCTGCAAAATACGACATTTTAGGTAATCTGTGTAGTCCGTGTATGTCTGTATGTATGCATTTCTTCGAACATCATAGGGGAAGCCACCCCCGCCAACCCTCCCGCTGCCTTTTAAATTCTATCACACCCTTTCTTGAATCATTGCACCCCTACTTGAATCACCACTTCTTCCGACATCATGGGGGGGCTGCCGCCCCCCCCAACCCCCCCGCTACGTTTAGATTTTCTACAGAGATTTAATTAATTGCACCCCTAGTTGAATCATCAATTCTTCGAACATCATGGGGGGGGGCTGCCGCCCCCCCCAACCCCCCCGCTACTTTTTAGACTTTTTGCAGAGATTTAATTGCACCCCTATTCAAATCATCACTTCTGCAAACAACATCGTGGGGGGGGCTGCCGCCCCCCCCAACCCCCCCGCTACTTTTTATATTTTTTTACAGGGATTGACATGCCCTCCTACTTGAATCATCATTTCTTTGACCCCGTCACACGATTTGTGGGTGATGCTAGGGATGTTGGTGGGACATGCGGGGTATATTTCGCGAGAACATGCTGTAAAATACGACACTTTACTGGCCCGGCAGAGATTGAATTGCACCCCTGTTTGAATCATCACTTTTTCGAGCGTCCAATTTCGCGAGAAAATGCTGCAAAATACGACATTTTAGGTAATCTGTGTAGTCCGTGTATGTCTGTATGTATGCATTTCTTCGAACATTATAGGGGAAGCCACCCCCGCCAACCCTCCCGCTGCCTTTTAAATTCTATCACACCCTTTCTTGAATCATTGCACCCCTACTTGAATCACCACTTCTTCCGACATCATGGGGCTGCCGCCCCCCCAACCCCCCCGCTACGTTTTAGATTTTCTACAGAGATTTAATTAATTGCACCCCTAGTTGAATCATCAATTCTTCGAACATCATGGGGCCGCCCCACTTTTTTTGACTTTTTGCAGAGATGTAATTGCACCCCTGTTCGAATCATCACTACCCCGCTCTGTTTTTCTTAATTGTTTCTTTTTTGTATTTTTTTGCTGGGATTGAAATGCCCTCCTGTTTGAAGCATTATTGTTTTGACCCCGTCAACCCGCCAGCTACATTTTTGGATTTTGTTACCCACGATTTGTTGCTGATGCTAGGGATGTTGCTCGGAGATGCGGGGGATGTTGAAAACGATGCTGGGGATGTTGACGAGCTAGTGTAAAATGCGTCAATTTCGCGAGAAAATGCTGTAAAATACGACATTTTGCTGGCCCGGACGAAAAACGAAAAAAAATCCAAAAATAAAATAAAAAAAAAAAAACGAAAAAAAATAAATAAATAAATCCGCACCCAAAGGGGTGACAGGCCGTATCCTGGGAGAACACGACAGCTTGTTGGCCAGCAGGCCGGGCTGCCTACTTCTTGTTTTAGGTTGTTGCTGGCCGCTTGTTTGCAGCACTTTGAGAGCCTTAGGAGCCCTCAGAGTGTCCAGGGCCATCGAGCCGAATCGAGCCGAGGACACGAGCGACGGCCCGGATGGCCACGGCACCCACATCGCCGGCGCCATGGTCGGGCAGCTTGCGGACGCAGAAGCACAGACGCTGGGCGTGTCGAAGAATCTGGGGATCGCGCCGGCCGCGCGGCTGGTAGTGGTGGACGTGGAGAAGAGCAGTGCCCCAGGGGAGTACAAGGCGTGCCCAGGGTCGGTCAGTGGGGCAAGGGGGTGGCAGAAAATTGTCAGTTGGCAGAAGCTGCGTAGCACAGGATTGGGTTTCGTTGTGCTTGACACTCTGAACGTTAGCATGCCTGCAATGCAGTCGCTGTGGCCTGTTGGCGATGCTTGTGATTGGATCATGCCCAATTGTAGCAAGCAGCTCGGGCCTCTCTGCAGATAGAATGCCCGCAGGTGCCGCACAATGCCATCGAGGCCTCATACCTCGACATTTTCCGGAATGCGGATGCAAAGGTCGTATGCTCGCCTTGGAGCTATGACGTGAATTCGGAGCTTGAACAGCGGATAGATACCTATGTCTGGAATCATCCGGATTTTCTGCCGATCTTCCCTTCTGGCAACGGCATAGCGACGACAAGAGAAGGCAGCCAAGCCCAGTCCCCTTGCTCAGCCAAGAACGTGCTTTGTGTGGGCGCTTCATACAATGCGCGCAGCATGCTCCTTGGCAGAGATCGGGAGAGGTCATGGCGGAGGGGATGGCTGGGTTTTCTCTTGCTCCTTGTGTGTGTGTGTGTGTATGTTCCTTGCCCAGAGTCGTGTTTCTTTGTTTTACAAGTGAAGCAGATGTTTCAACACGCCACTGTTTTGGGTTTGGCTTGCAGATCTAAGGCACCTAGGCCGTGGCCAACTTTCGAAGTCACCCAAAAAGCCGTACTCACAGTTGTGATGTTAGATGATTCCCATGCGGCTTGACGTTCCCCGACATTGACCAGCACTGACGGAGGAATCGCGCTTGAGAAACAAACAAGGCAACCAGAAGGACCCCCAAGAAGACCCCCAATCGCCAGCGGCGTTGCTTTTTGCGCCGCATCTTGGCCCCGCTTAGCGCCGAATCGGCGTCAGGTACGAGGAGCAGCCCTCCTTCGTCCACACCGCGTTGCGCTTCGGGTCGCGGGAGGTGCCCGCGCTGCCGGCGCTCTTCGGGGCCACAGCGCCGGTGGGCGGCAAAGCCGCCTGCGAGGCGGTGGTGGAGGAGGGCCATCTGTCAGACTGGGGCGCCAAGCGTGGTCTTCTCGAGGGGCATTCCCTTTCAACCCCAAAAAAGGAACGGGCCAGTGAAGGATCTTCCCTCAAAAACGCCTTCACTCAGGTACAACAAATAATTATAAGCGGGGGGTTGACCGTTGACCAATCCGCAACTTGCCAACGCGAAACGCCGAAACGCCCAGGACTGCGCCCTCTTTAAGGCCGCCTGCCCCGAGTGCGCCTTTCAGCCTGGGCGTTTGGCGGCGGCCGAGGCGGTGCCGCTGCGGGCGGCCGACCCGGAGGACGCCTGCCAGCCGCTGAGCGGCTTCCCCGTAGGAGACGGGGGCCAGCGAACCCCCACCCCCCCTCGCTCCCGCCTCCCCCACCACCTTTCGCTTTGAGGTAGGGGGGATCAAAGTCCAGGTTGTCATAAGAATTAGGTTTGGTGGGTCATGTGACGTCATGCGCCAGCTCGACTGGTAGCTGGATGTTTGAGCCATTAAGCAAGCTCGCACAGAGCTCCGGTGAGAAGGGAGGCAGCTTTGGCTCCTAGAGATGCAAGGCTAGAATGGCAGCTATTGAAAGACATACATAGTTGTTTGTAAGGGCGTGCTACGTACACCGCCTGATAGGGGGCACCGCCAAAGAAGCTCTAGCCAACATGTTTTTTGGCAGTAATCAGTCGATTCGGAGGACATGTTTGCCTGGTGCAGCGTGGGGGCTGCGACTTCTTGACGAAGGCCAAGCACTGCTCAGACGCCGGCGCCATGGGGGTTGTGATTGTGAACGGCCTGAGCAGTGCCATGGTGGTCATGACGGGGGACCGCCTGGGGCAATCGCTCGTGATAGTTTCAGCTTCGCAGCACCTGTTTGCAGTAGCTCTTGGCGTTTGCACGGATTAGCTGCTTGAGGAAAGGCACGTGTGGGGGGACACATCCAACGACCCCCTTCAGCTTCTTGTTGGTCTTCTTTGGTGCGGGTTGCATATCCAGGACGCAGCCCTGATAGCACAATACGGCCTCACGCTGCCAGTGGTATTGGTCTCCAATGCTGATGGCGAGCAGCTGCATTTGGCTGACACGGTCACCTTCCCGATCATTAGCGGCACCGTGGGGCCGCAGGCGCTCGAGATTCTTTGCCCAATGAATTGACTTTGTTGCAGCGGACTTGTGGCCATTCTATGATGTGAGTTGCCCGGCGCGGCAACTAGTCGACATTTGCCAAGCTGCATGCTCTGTCTATGAGGGGTATCGATGACCAGGCTTTATGCTTGAGAAACAAGATGGCCCAGCCCACATTAAAGCAACCTCGTGCAGTCGACCAATTTTGTGCAGATCTCGGGAATGGGACGGTGTCCCAATACGTCCAGGCAAGTCGTGCCAGCCCGTCGCCGGTCGCCCGAAGCTGTGAGGCCCGGGCCCCTTACAGCCGCCACGGGGCCTTGAGCCACCCGGGGCGGCTGAAGCCGGAGCTGGTGGTGCCGGGGGATGGCATCGCCAGCGCGGCGGCGTCGCAGGTCTGCGGCTTCCGGCGCCCCGGACGCCAAGCGGTTTGAGGGCTTTGAGGGGGTCGAAGGTTGGGCTCTGCTCTCGCAAGCATCGCTCTCTTGGGCCTTTCTGGTCTTTCATGTACCCGTGTCCATGTGCGATGTTAGTGTCGTTTGGATGCCAGTGTGGTCTGAACGGTGGGCAAACGTGCCCAGAAGCGCTCACACAAAGCGTGATTGCTTGATGGTTGCCGCAAGAAGTGTGTGGTTTTTGGAAGCCGCCTTGTTCAACGAATCACTTGGCTAGTGAAAGTTACTGAGCACACACACCTTCAAACCAAACTTGAGAATGCCGGGTGGCCACACAGGCAGATGAGCGGAACCAGCCAGAGCTGCGGTATTGCAGCGGGCGTGGCGTCTTTGGCCAGGGAGTACCTCAGTGAGTGGGCGGACGAGGGGCAGGCTAGGGCAGTGATGGCGCTTGCTTTGCTCTCCGTTTCAACCGGCCCTTTGTTTGATTCACCTGAGGCCCGGCTGCCAGAAGTCTGGGCCTCCACCCTCAGGGCCGCTCTAGTGGGTTCTGCGGAGCTGGATCGCGCCACAGTCACTGCCGCTTCTACCGTCATGCTGCCAGAGGTGGGGCAAGCGAACTTGGGTATCCGCGGTGTGGAATTCCTGCAGTCCAAATTTGAACAGTGAGTTGGTTGGCGCGTTGGTTTTTTTTTGTGGATGTTGCTGCGCACAAAGTTATGCCAGGTGGGCTATGGACTTCCCGTCCTCGCCTCGCTGCTGCCCATGCCGGCAGGGCCCGGGCTGGTGGCGATCCAGTCCTGGGCCGACAGCAGCGTGGCCCAGCGCTTCTGCTTAGCGATCCGGCCTGGCGTGGGCGCCGGCTCCCTATCCGCAACCCTGGCCTGGACAGACCCCCCGGCCTCGGACGGGAGCTTGGTGCATGACCTCGACTTGCAGCTGGCCTGCGATGTCCAGACCTGGGCGCAAAATCTGGGCAACGGCGGGGCCAGCGCCGACCGTGTCAACACCGTGGAGAAGATTTCGTTGCTTGGTTTCGATAGCTTCTCCTCTGGGCTCTGCATAGCTTCCATCACTGCCAATGGCGTCTCTGCAATGTCGCCCCAGCCGTTCTCGCTGGTGGTGGCGGGGCCCTTCGTCCTGTCCCAATGCGAGGCGCAGGTGCGCCCCCCCAATTGTGTGCAAGGTGTCGCGGAGCAGTCTGCTTCTGGGTGGCGGTGCCGGTGCTTCCCACCTTACCTGGGCCCTTTCTGCGACCAAGATGCGATGACCTTGGAGCTCCAGAGCGACGAGGCAGAGGCGAGCATCCAGAAACTCAGGGCCTGGCAGTGGACCTTCTTTTCTGCGCCCGTGCCTTGTGCTGGCGACTACAGCCTGGTCATTGACGCTCCGTCTGGGTCCCTGCAGATGCATTTGGCCTGGGGCCACCTCCACACCTCGGGGTCTGGCCTGGAGCAGCGGGAAGGCATCACCTTCGATTTGCGCGAGGACGGCAGCACCACGATCATCCAGATGCAGATCACGGAGGCAGCCTTCGGCTTGGCCCACGCGGCGACTCTGGGGCTGCAGTGGCGGGACCGCAGCGGCGAGAGCAGCATAAGCCTGCAATTTTCTTCTGTCGTCAGCAGCTGCGGAGCGGAGAAAGGGCTGGCATCAGAGGATCCACTGCCTGTGGCGCTGGCTGTGGGCCTGGCGGTAGCTCTGATCTTGGCAGCTATTGCCAGCTTCGTTTGCTGGAGACTCTTCCGGGGCAGGCCAAAGGTCTCGCCGCCGGGAGCTTCGCCAGACATGGAGGCTGCAGAAGGCAACCATGTGAACCATGCGGAGGTTCTAGAGAGCAACAATGTTGAGTTTGCCGAAGGCAACAACGTTGTGATTGCAGAAGCCAACAGCATTTTTTGATCGCTGAGCCAATCCTTTGGATTTCAGCAACAGTAAGCGCCTTTTAGCGAAAAGTTAGCGTTGCACTGCCACGTCGACGGAACTTCGGGCCATCCTTGTCTTTCTTTGCAGGGTCAAGTGTTCCGTGCTTACGGGATCATTGGCACTGGCATTCTCAAGTGCCGAGATGTTCGTTTCTAGTTCTAGCTTGTGCGCATTGCTGTGGCTGTGCCAAATCTTTCAGCCAGCGAGCTCAAAAACGGGCGACAAGGTTCTGGCCCTTGCCTTTGATAATTTCGGCTCTTCTTTTCCTCTGCCGGTCCCTCCTTCCATTTTTGACGGTGTTCTTCTTGGCTCCCTGGGAAGCACGGCCAAGACTCCTCCCCCTTCCTTCCACCCCCCCCCTTCCGTCCACCCCCCCGCCGAGACGGCGTCGGGCGGAGGGCCTGGGATCGGAGGCCAAGGCCCAGCCGGTGGAGGGCTTCGCGGGGGCCGGGGAGCTCTACGCCATGGAGGTGGACACCGCGAAGGCCATGCAGCGCTTCCAGGACACCGCGCGGGGCCCAGCGGGGCACCTCCCCGGCGGGGAGGGTGGGGGGGGGGGGGGTTCCGACCAGAGATCCGGCCGATGGCTTCTTTTTTCTTTTTCTCGGTTTTGGCCGGTGGGCGCGGCTTTCCTTTGCCCTCAGACCGAGGGAGAGTAGAATCGGCTGCCTGATTTCTGAAGGGAGGGACGTTTGCTGCATCTTTCCGCAGTTGCAACATCACCTGGCAGGTCGACTATCCATACTTTAGGCAAATCAATCGGAGAGCTGGAAGCATCCTTTTTGCCTTTCAAAGGACGAGGCACAGTTCTGGGGAATAGGCGTGCCGCAAAGGGCCATTCGGCAGCATGTTCATATGGCATTGCTAACGTTTGTTTTGTTCCTGACAGACTGGTGTTGCTTGGCGATGTTTCTTTTTTTCCTTGAGCGTCCTGGCATACATTTTCAGTGGGAAGCAGCTGGTGGCATATGACATGGATCATTTGCCCAGGTGAGTGACACGTTGTGTTTGGGCTGCCGAAACAGCGCCTTTTGCAGAGGTGCGGGATGCTTTGCAGCAGCGGCAGGGGGATGGGGGCATCGTGGGCCAAGTGCTGAAGCAGCTGCCTATGCAGGCCATGGGGTCCTCGAGGAAACTATAGTTGATTCAGAGAATGCCTCATTCAACCTGGGCTCATGTTCGTTCTAGTCGAGATCTTGCAACAAATGTAGTGTCGAGGACTTCATCGATCTCTTCAACACGCTCCCGCCCGGGAGTGACGAGATCGTGGCCCTGACAGAAGTGCTGGAAAAGGTCAAGGAGATTGCGGGATGTTTGTGGGGTAGGTAAAAAGAATAAAGGGGCTTGGGGACGAAGTTGCGTGGGCTTGTTAGCTAGTCTTCATCATGTCTCTGCTTTGGTTGGGGTGCGGCGGCCCAATGTCTTGAGAATACCGTGATGCTTTGGAGGCTGCCCGCGCGAACCGCCCTTGGGAGGAGAACTTTGACCGCATCATCATTGACACGGCTCCCACGGGCCTGGAACTCAGGCGAAAGTGACTCGCTGATATTCGCTGCAATTTATCGCTTTGGGCAGCTGACTCTTGCGCATCGCTGCAGCCCGCATTTCCTTTATTCCAGGCTCGCCTGGTCGAGTGACCAACGACCCACGAAGGCAGTCCAAACCCAGGGTGCAACGCCAAGCAAAGCATCAAGTTTGCCGGTTTGCCGAACAGGCTTGCCCAGCAGGGGCAAACCGCAGGTTTTGGTCCACGTTTCCACCCAGGGCAATCCATTTTGATTTTTTGGAGCCACGGCCACATGTCTTCAGTTGGAGTCTCCGGAATTCCCGGGGATCTCTTCGCGTTTGGCGAGGCCACGCGGTGCGGCTTCTGAGCTACCCCGACTTCCTGGAGCGCCTGGCCGAGCGCGTGGCGCGGCTGCGGGAGCGCTTCGGGTGGCTGAGCGGCTCCAAAGGCGCCCCTGCAGGGAGGAGGGGGTGAGGAGGCCAGGGCCGCTAGGATTGAGAGTGGACAGTTTGGGTGAGCGGTTTCGGGAGATGATTGAGTTTGGACAAGTTGGGTGAGCGTTTTTTTTTTTTTTCTTTTCTCCTTTGTTTGCTTTTTTGCAGGCGGTCGGATGCTTGAGGACGTCGGTTCAGCTTCCGTTTTCTTTTTTTTATTGATTACTGTGCGAGTTCTGGAATGGCCAGTTCAATCTTCACCGCTCATTAGGTGCTTCCAAGTTTGATGTCTCGCTCGCAGCTCCGCAGCCATGCCAAAGTCAGGAGCTGCCATGAACCAACACAGCCCCAAAGGGGCAAGGACGCTCGTAGTCATCAAAGACCAAACGAGGGAAGTACTTAATCACATTGGGTGCCCCTAGTGGCCCCAGCGGCTTCCCGCAAGCTTGTTTGGCCAGCATGCGTTTCACATTGACCCATTTTTGACAAGTCCAAGCGATACTGGCCTCTAATTGAAGCTCCCCCTGCGCCATGGCGCGGAAAGTTTGCGCCTGCCTGGGCGATGTTGCGGATAAGCTGTGTGGCGGAAAGGAGCCATCGCTCCCGCCGCCACGATGGGCGCAGCCGACACAGGCGGGCCACGGAAGTGTGCTCAGGACATTGCGAGTCTGTGAGCCTTGACCACCCCAGGGGCACACGAAGGACTTTTGCATGATTTGCTCAACCGTTCACATGTGAAGATTAAGATTTGGGCTCCTTTTCGACCTTGACTTCTTGCTTCCCCGGCTTTTCTGCAAGCATCTTGGAGGCTGGTGTTGCACCACCTTCCAGCGTTGACAAGCGTCCACAAGCTATCGCAAACGGTTTCTGCCTATGAGCAGAACTGCTTGCAACTCACGCAAGGGTAGTGAAGGGTTCCTGGTTGATGAAGGTGGTTGGGATTCCTGTGCGACAGTTGCGGGTGCTGAGGCTCAGGTCACGGACAGGGAGCAGGCTGTCGCCACTTCCCCTCAGGCACGGGTCGCCTTGTTGCCTGTGCTCAATGCGAGCTTTGAACGAGGGAACAAAGTTGAAGGCAGGAAAAGTGAAGTTGAACAATTCCTCATGGGGTGGTAAGAAAGTTGAAGGCATGGCAGACGGCATGGGGGTTCGTTGCCGTGAGGCCCCGGCCTTGGCGACCCCGCAGTCCCGGCAGTCCCGGCAGTCCCGGGAGTCGCGGGAGTCCCAGGAGGCGCCGGCCGCTGTGAAGCGGCGGGCCAGGAGCCCGCGAGGCCACTTGCCGCCTCCGGCGCTGCGGGAGGCGGGGGGGGTGGAGGGGTGGGGGGTGGGGGTGGTCGAGTCCTCTGTGGGCTGGCATTCGGTTGTGTGTGTGTGTGGCCCAGTCCTCTATGGGCAGCCTTGGGTTATGGTCTTGTTTTATGTGTACGCGCCTCCTCAAGCTTCACATCGCATGTTTGTCGTCTAAACCGTTCAGCCTGCTGAATGTGCGGCACCAGACAATGTCCGCATATGATAGAGAGGGGCAGGGAGGGGAGAACCAGCCACCCACCGACACACACACACAGACACACGTATATGAAAACAAAAAAGATAGACATTATGACTCGATGACTCGACAGTATCACTTTTTTGCAGAAACTTTTCTCAATATTCCCCGGCATGTGATTACTGCTTGCAACCCAAGTTGCTTCAAGCATGCTGCCCTTGGTCCAAGGGCAGCAGCGGAGCTCTATTGCTTTAGGCCTCCGCTCGTTCTCCAATCGCCCGGCCCAGGACCCGGCTTCTCAAGCTTTCTTCTGCGGGCGCTGGCCGGGCCGGCGGAATGACTACGAGGGCGAGGCAGGCTTCCGCTTTGAGGTGGAGCGGGCGCCTTGGCTTTAGGGGTCTGGGCAGAAAGCGCCTGATGCTTGGCGAGAACTGAATCGATGCGAGCTGCCTGCTGGCCTCCAGCAATTGCCCCACCCTCTTTCAGTGACTTGCTGAGTGGAGCCCGAGTCATTGGCCGCTGCTTAGCAGTTGGGCCCCTATGTCCGAGGGTGCCTTTCGAAACTTTCGCTTGCCTCCATGCCCTGCTGTTCTCCCCCCCTCCCAAGGACTGCGAGGTCACCGCACTGGGACGGCCTGCAGAGCCTCCGCTGATGGAGGTTGCATTGGTGTCCTTGTGGCACGCCAAGACGCAGGAGACCTCACGAGTGGCGTGGATGGGTCTAACTTTTGCACGCATGGAGTCTCTTGCAGGAGCGCCTGGTGTCCACTATGGTGGGGCCAGCGTCCAGGGTAGATGGGTTCTATGCCTGGGAGCCTTTGATGGAGCCGGTGAGGCTGAGACCAGGGGAGGAATACAGACTTTCACAGCGCCTCAGCTGGAAAGCAAACATGTCAACAGTTGATTTGCGACTTTTTTCCTTTGTGTTTGCTGTTGCGCGGCTTGTGCGCCTGCCGACTGTCCAAGGCGATGCAGAGCCAACATGCTGGACCGCTGGTCAGACGACCAAGCCACCGAAGAGGACACTATTCCAAAGAATGGTCAAGGATCGATTTTAGGAGTTCGATGTTTCGGAGTTGAAGAAACTCCCCAAAAATGGATGGCTTTTTGGGAAGCTTCTTATTGACATCTTTAACCTTCGCTCAGCCCGCCAGGAGCTGGCGGGTAAGAGCTGGGCCTCCCTGGCGCGGTTCCTGGGCGGGGTCTGCCGCAACGGCCCAGGCTTTCCCAATCGCCTGGATGGCGCGCTGCGGCGCCCGGGCATCGTCAACTTCAAGGCGCCGACGTCTCGACCGCCGACCCGCGCCCGCGCGCCGAGGTCCGTCGAGACGTCCGCGCGGCTGTTTGACGTAGAGCGCGCCAGGCGCTGCTGCGCCCGGCCTGGGACCCGATGCTTCGGGAGGTGGACCGGGAGGAGTTCGCCAAGTGCCTGGCCCTGGCAGTGGCGGAGCGCGGCCAAGGAACCGAGGGGTGGGGTCGAGGGGTCGAGGGTGGTTTCGGAAGGTCAGACGTCACCGCAAACAACAGGCGCGAGGTGTGTCCAAGATCTTTTTGACTCTTTGACTCTTTGACTTTTGAAGGGCGGGGTACGGTTTTCACGTTCTGGAGCGCAGCCCCAGGCATCGAGGAGATCGAGCTGCGCCTGGCGGCGCTGGCGGGGCTGCTGGCGCTGCTGGTGGACGAGCTGAGTGGGGTGGGGGCCATGGCGCTGCTGGCGCCGGAGGAGGAGCTGGAGACGCTGGGCTTGTGTGGGCCAGGGCGACTCTCTTTGGTCTCAGGTGTCTGGGGCAGCGTTGCGAGCACAAAATGCGGGCAGCGTTGCTGAGCTGTTGTGTTTGCAGTGGCGCAGGCTAGTTCCGTTGACGGTCTTCTTCACGTTCCCTGTTTTGGTTACCATTTGATTGGAACCCTTGAGCCTGACTGTGCAGCTTGAAGTTGACACTGGGCGACGACAGCGAGGTTCTAGTAGCGACGTACGAGCTACTGGTGGTCAGGGTGCCGTGGCCCTCAATCAAGTTTCTGCAGATTTTTGTGGGCGCCACTAGGGCTAAGGGTTGCTGAGCTTAGTTTGCCAGTGCTATTTGCATCATGTATACAGATCTGTATGCCCACCGTTGGGCCCCCAGTCATCTCCAAGGCTGCTTCGGGGTGCTTCATCGTGCTTAGCATGTTGCAGGCAAGGGTGGCAAGGGAAAAACCCGGCGCCTGTGGCTGCTGAGGATGATTGCTGACAGCGCGGCCGCCTGCAGCCGCACGGGTGAGCTGGAGCTCGCCGGTGCTTCGGTGTTTGACTGCAAAGTGCTCTGCCAGGAGTCGCGGGAGGGTGCGTTTTTCCTTCGACGAATGGCCGCCTTGCCTTCCTTCAGAGGGGTCACGGGCAAACATATTTCAGAGGCAGCACCTCGGCTGCTATTCATCACAACCCTGATTTTGAAGTCGGCGTGTTGTCGAGAGCCTGTTGCCGAGTCTGTGCCGCTTCTAGTTGTCTGTTTTGCTTGGTGCCACGTGTTTCTGAGTTGCTTCCAATTGTTCCTCGCAGATCATTCCAATGGTCGTTCATGTGTTGCGTTCTCACCAAGCAAGCGCAGCCTGGTTTCTGCAAGGACGGGCAGAACTGACCAACCAAAGCATAAAAACTTGTATGTACTGTCTACCTCACTGCTGAGCCAAACATGTGAAAAGCCGCTGTGTTCAAATGACTGGGTTGTGGTCTTGCGATGTCTTGGGTTTGGAGGTTGGAGGGGTGCAGTACCATCGTGTGTGCTGGATGCCGCCGCAATATCTGTTCCGATGCTGGGCGCGTCCCCCCTCCAGTTGGCCAGGAGATGTACTTTGCGGCGCGGCGCGGGGGGCTCCTAGATGCGGGCTTGCTGCTGGTGTCCTTCAGCGGCGAGGCCAGGTTCGAGTGGAGGGGCGCTGGAGATCTTGGCCCAATAGCGCTGCCATGAGACTGCTGCAAGTGGCAAGTGACTGCAAGTGGCTTTTCCCAGGTGCTGGGCCTGGTGCCACGTCCACGCGCCTCGGCAGAGGCCCCGAGTTTCGACAGCGGCCGGCCGCTGCAAGCCTGGGAGCTGGCAGAGGCACTCGCGGACGCCGTGCCTCTCTCCCTCTCTCTTCTGGAAAGCGTCAGGTTTGGAGCATGGGAACCCCGGATGAACACCCTGGATCCCCTTCCTCTCAGGGTATGGAATATTGGGGATTTCGGCACCCTCCAAGCTCTCAGGGGGCAGTTTGCCTGTCTTGCCGGTTGCAAATAGCCCGCCTTGCCCCCGGCGCAGAAACTCCGCAGTGGCCTCGCCTTTGCCAAGCACTCGGCGGAGGCGTGGGAAATGAGCATCGGCTGAATCCCTTCCCCCTTTAATATTAGCAACTGTTTTTTTTCTTTGGGCACAACTACTCAAACCGATGTCAATCTAATTCGAAACCGGCACAAACCCAAAGAGGACATAGATTTCTTGGTTTTGAGATTCCTGACGCTTTGAATGATGTTGTGGCCCCCCCTGATACCCGAACGTTCAGAAAAGTCGTTCTGCCCCCAGGCTTTGGGGGACATGGATTGCTCGAAGTGTTTGCTTGCGGACAGAGCTACAAGACAAGCCAGGTTTTCAAGTCCAGTGGCGAGCTAGATGGAAGTGCAACAAATGAAGGGCGGAGGTTCTGGATTGGTGTTAGGCGACCGTAGCGTGACCTAAGAGCACTGTGCCAGATTGTTGCCTACGATGCCAAGCAGCTGCAGACGGGAGGCTTCCGGCTTCACACGCGAGCCAGCGCAGAGCTGTGAGGCCCGAGGTCGTGGCGTCTCTTTCTGCCGGTTCATCGCCCGTGATCGATTCATTTTCCATTCCACTTCCCTTGGCAAAGGGAAGCAGTGTCACCTGCCAGCTTTTCTAGCTGCTTGGCGGAATCTTCGCAAAGGAAGCAGCTTCTGCCAGACATGTGTGCTGCGTTTGGCTTGCCTTGAAGGCCCCTGGAAGCTTCCTCGCGCGCTTCTTTTTTTGAAGCGGCCCCTGGGGTTTGAGTGTTTGAGTTGGGGCTACTTTTGCGTAGGATTTGCAATTTCGGGTTTGAAGGTCCTGCCGATAAAGCGAGCCATTCTTTGGTTTGGAAGCGCCTCCAGGGCATCCGTGGGTTGCAAGCTCTGGCATATATCAAGCGACGTACCAAGCGCCTGGGGTCAAAATAAGGAGCGCAAGCAGCTAGCTGGGACTGCCAGGAAGGGAGCTTTTCGCTCAGGCACCGAGATGTTAAGCCTTGGGTGTGTGCTGAGCTGGTCCAAGGTACTCCAAGGCATGTGGCAAGGAGCTCACATGCCTCGACCGCTAATTCCGTAAAATTCTTGCCGTGGCCTTTGGGCTGGAATTGTCAGCTTACAGGAGCCCGCACCTTGACAGCCAGTTCTGTTCAGTGAAGGCGCTCCGCTTGGAGGGATTTGGACCACTCAGCTGTGTTCAGTCGGGTGTGTCGCAAAAGCAAGGCTGCAAAGAGGCCCACTTATCTCACACAAGCACGATATCAAGCATGGAATCGCAATATGTCATACTATGAAAAACTGTACGAGATGACGCAAAGCCTGGCTTTTGGCCAGGTCCTGACCAGGTCCGGTCATTCCAGTTCCGCATGATCGAGCTGCAGGATTGTGCGGGGGAACTTTCTGCAGGGTGCAGCAGCTTGGCTGGCTGGCCCATGTTTTTTTTTCTTCCCTCCTCTCTGTCGTGACAAAGGCTGCTTTCAGGAATGCCGCCTGATTGCCAGTTGGTGAGTGACAGCAATAGATTGTGTGCCTTCACGAGTCATTGTGGCAAGACTTGTGCCTGCGTGGTAGCTTCAACGATTGACAAAATATGACTGGACCCTTGAAAGAGGGAGGGAGCGTGGGGCTTGCCTTGGGGCTTGCCTTGCTTGCTATGTGGCACCGATGAACGACAGCCAAGCTCGCACCTGGCATAGGGCGCATTCACCAGACCCCAGACCCCAACCTCGAAAGAACCCCACATGCTTTGCATGCTCCCGTGTCATGTTTGCCCCGTGCCGCTGTCCAGGAGCTGTTCACCGATCCTGAGAGTTGCTTGGCTGCACGCCAGTACGCAGAGATGAGATGTTGTTATTAAGTTAGCATCTTGTTGGCTGATTTGCTGTGTGCCTTGCCGTGTTATTGATGTTGTTGGTTGCTCATTGCGTCTTATCGAGCTTTCCTTTTTCAGACAAGCCGGATAGGGAGCAGCTTCTGTGTGGTGACGATCCCCACGAACCTGGCGCTGGAGGAGACGAAGCGGCTCCTCAAGCAACTGGAGGCAGGGCGAGTAAACTGTGGACGTGGGGCCGGTCAGTGCTTGTGGAATTGTTGCTCGACGTGGCTAAATTAATGGCGGCGCATCTTCGCCCAACCCTGCAAGGAGCAGGACATCAACTGTGGACTCGCCCCTTGGCGATGATTCAGCCTGGGATTTTGTGCATGTGGGGCTTTTGGCATCGCGGAGTGGAGGGCGATTTCAAGGTTGCTCATTTTCTTTTCTTGTTGTGGCTTTGGTGGCAGTATTGGTTTAGGATTGGTTTTGGGCTTTCAGGTTCAGTTTAGGTTTTTCGTAGGTTTAGTGTGGGATTAGGGTGGGTTTTGGCGGGTTTAGGGTAGAGGTGGGTGGGTTGAGGGTTGGTTTTAGCTGTGGCTTTGGAATGCCACATCCAACCCTGAGCACAACCCTAAACCCGCTACAACACTAAACCATCCCGAAACCCGCCATGCGTGGCAAACCCACAACACTAAACCATCCCGAAACCCGCCTCGTGGCAAAACCCATCCAACATCTAACCACGACCCACCTCAAAAGCACTCAGAGCAAATTCTGATCCCGGCCCAAAACGTCCCTGTTCACAAGTCCCGAACCCCAGCCCAAGGCAGCCCCAAACAGCCCAAACACGAGAACTCGCACTTTCCCGTTTGCCTGTGTCTATTCTTGTGGGCGTTTGCATGCTATTGTCTCGGTGTGTTCATGTGTTCCCATCTTTTACAGCCAATGGCCTGTGTCTCTTGCCATTTGGCCTGCTGGTTTCTCACGTCTCATGTTTATTTGCTCCCTTGCTTCTTTTGCCTCCGCATGTTTGTGCGCGTCTGTGCTTGCCCGTCTCCGCTGCTAGTTCGTGCTGAAGCTGTCTGCTGGCTAGGTCATTGCCAACCGAATCTTGGACATGGATCAGGCCGGCTGTTGCCCACTTGTGCTTCGTTTCCTCCATGCAAGGTTCTGTGCTTCGTAGCCACTGGTGCCTGTGGCGTGCATGCTTGGACAAAAGGTCGAGGACTCTTGCGATGAATATCATAGGGCAAGATCCCAACATACTCCATGATGATATCTTCTTTGTGGAAACATGGGCCCCTGAGATTCTACGTACGGGGTTGCTTTCTTTTCTTTGTGGTCCGAATCTTTGGGGGCCGTCTTCCTGGCCAGGTAAGCCAAGCGGCGGCCAGCCAGCAAAAGACTCAGGAGGCGCATGTGCTTTGGATAAATTTGGCCAGAACCGGGCATGAACAAGATGCAGGGCAGCCGTGAAGAAAGACGTGAACGGAACAGAGCACCGAAACGGCTGGTCGCATTTTGGGCTGCGTGTCGCTGAATCAGGAATTGTTTATCAGGCTTTTGCCTCCAATATTTCCATCACACGGACAATTACAATCGCAAAAGGCATGCGCCCCAATGCGTCAGCCCAAGACGTGCCCGGCACCCCGGGCCTGCATGCAGATGCGCGATGTTTGAGAGGCAGCCTTGGCACTGCTTGATGCCCTGGCCAAGAAGGAGGGGCTGGAGGCGCGGCCTTTGGCCTTTGGTGGGAAGGAAGCCGCAGGATGCCCCGCCTGTGCTTCCGCCGCTGTTGTCACTGGCCTTGGCTTTGGTTGTTGTGCCCGTTTCCCGGCTGAAAGCAAAGGCTTCCAGCATTCAGTTGGAAAGTCTTGCTTTTTGCGGCGACCTTGGGACTGAACCGTTGGGAAATGTCGGGGTTGACGATGCTTGCGTGTTTCCCCTGGCCAGGTCGTTCGTGTGCCTTACATGGATCGTGAGCTTCAGGGCATCTATGGTTTGCAGTATCTAGGACAGAGCCTGGTCGAGGCATGAGCTGGGTGCTGCTTGCGCTCGCGGATAGTGCTACTGCCCAGGCTGTTGTAGAAGGGGGTTTGCACAAGGCGGGAATTTGACATCTTTCTTGGGGTGGGGGGTGGGAAAGCGCGTGCTGCCCCCAATCCGCGCGTTGCTGGGCTGTCCAGCTCGAATTTTCACAGAACCTGCTTGCAAAATCGTTGGTCTCGCAAGAGCAGCGGGTGTGCCATACAGGACCAGGGCTTTGTTGTCAGGGCCATGCAGCCGCATTTCTTGGCATGTGAGTCGTACCCTGAAGCATGGCATTCCTGCAGAGCCTAGCTACTACAGCTCGTGAGGTGCAGGGACAAGCAGGAGAAAAACTTGCAGCACGCAGCACGACTGCTGGCTTGTTGGAGCCGTTGAGATAGCCACTTACGCCTAGTCAGGTTCGGTTCGTCTCGCGGCCGTGTTGGCCCGTAGAGTTGGCGGCCATGCCTGAAGGAGAGGACGCCAAGGCGGGAATCGGCGAGTGGGGCCGGGGAAAACAGACTCGGTGTACTTTTGGTTGCATACTCGCGGCCTCGCGGTATCACAAGCAAAAGACATGGCCCACATCCTGGATAAGCCAAGGTTGCAATTTGCTTCCAGTCAAGGGAGCCATGTTTGGCTCTCTTCATTCGCCCTGCTGCCCAGGATGGCGGTGGTGCGCCGCTGCCCTAGCACAGCTTGGAATGCATCAACTGTGTCTGGGTTTATCTTTCAGGGGCAGTGCATTCTTTTTGAACGCGCGGGGACTACCAACACCGCGGCTGTCACTTGCAATGCCGACTAGGGACCATTTTGAGGCAACTATCGCCGAGGCTAACTTCAGGCAAATCAAGCAAATGGGTCAAGATGGCAAAATGATCAACCACTGGGCGGCATGGCTTGTTTCCTCAGCAGCCATGTTTTGCCGTTTAATGCTACTCCTCTTGCGTGTCGATAGACACGTTGACTTCACATTCACATGTCGCTTGGCAGCCCCACGTCCAGTCCTGAGTCGGACACTAAGGCCAGGGGAAGGAAAGGATGGCAAGGAGACTGAGATCGAGATCCCTTTGAGCAGCTCGCCCGCAAGAGCTTGTTAATTCCCAGCACCCGACTACCGTTTTCATTTTATTTTCGTGACTGCCGTGTATTTGGCAGTAGTTTCCCGAAACTACCGTTGTTTCGCAGACCCGAGGTTGTATCCCCACCCCTTCCCAAGCCCCGACACACAGGCGACACGCAGTGACATGCAGGTGACGCACAGTGACACACTAAAACTACCGTTATTTTGCAGCGACCTACTGTTGTTCCGACATACTGATACTGACACGCAGGTGACACGCAAGTGACACGCAGTGACACGCAGTGACACGCAGTGACACGCAAGTCCATACGTGTCGCTACGTAGAACTTGCGTGCCGCTGCGTGTCACTTGCACGCCGTCACTTGCGAGCCATGACCATGGGCATTCCGCAAACACAAAGAAAGACAGTATTTTTTTCCACTGCCTTTTTGTTTGGACAGTTCCATCTCTCCGGCCGCTGGGCAGTATTCGGAGAGTGCTGGTCCTTCACTTTTTGTTTTTAAGCCCCAGCAAGGTGGGTAGACCCCATCATGGCCCCAATGCAAACAAAGTATGAGGTCAAAGGGGGCTGCCCTAGCGGCCGTGCATGTGGTAGGGTTGCGCTGTTTGGATGGCTTTATTTCAGAGGCTGCCTTTGCGTTGATTCGCTCCATCGTCCATTCTTGCACGCATCAAGCCACCACTGCGAGGGTTCTGATTGAACCATTGGTGCTGGATCGGTTTTTGGTCAACTTCCTTTGTTGCGTAGGGTTCTGTTGAATATTCTTGCGTGTTTTTGCAAGGTGTGGGCACGGAGGGTGAAAGCACACCTGCAGCGGAAGCCGCACCTGCGGCGGAAGCCGCCCCCGCGGCCGAAGCCGCTCCTGCGGCTGAAGCCGCCCCAGCGGCTGAAGCCGCCCCTGCGGCTGAAGCCGTCCCCGCGGCTGAAACTGCCCCTGCAGCCGAAGCGGCCCCTGCAGCGGAAGCCGCTCCTGCAGCTGAAGCAGCTGCTGGTGGTGAGACGCCGGCGGAGGCTGATGCGCCTGCTGTGGCTGAGACGCCGGCGGATGTGCCAGGCACAGAGGCCGCAGCCGAAGCATCAGAGGCTGTGGCCGCAGACGCTGCGGCCGCAGAGGCGGTGCCAGCAGAGGCTCCAGCAGAGGCTCCGGCGGAGGCGGCGGAGACTACCGAGACGTCCGCAGACGCCGCAGCGGAGGCGGCAGAGGCGCCTGCAGGGTCCCCCGCGCCTCCTGCAGCACCGGCAGAAGCAACAGATGATGCGGGTGCGGCAGCGGAAGGTGGGATCCTTGAGCCTTTTGAGTCGTTTCTGTCACTCAAGACTCCCTGCACTTCGGCCAGGTGAACCAGCAGCACCAGAGGCTGCAACAGATGATCCGGGTGCTACTCCGGCAGCCGAGGCCGTGTCCTGGCTTGTGACGAAACTGTCGCCAGTGCGGGCATGCTTCTGCTGTGTGCAAATGCGCAGTCGCGCACCCGCGCGCACAACAAACACCGCCCCCCTAACTGCAAACGCATTTGCACATGTGGCGTGTCCTACAATGAACTGTCGCGCTGCGAGAGATGCGAGGTGGCATCTTTCACCCCTTGCTATGAGAGCACCCTCTGCAACGCCATCATTTTGCATCTGAACACATGTTGGGTTTTCCACAGACACATCGTGTGAACCTGGCCAGCCTTTGTGCAATGCCAGGACCCAGCGCAAGCAGCCCCGGGCTCGGCACAGCAATCAGCTTCCTAGTCGCCATGAGTGACCCATGTGCATCACTGGTGCTGGGATCTGGGACCTGCAAAGATAAAACCGCCTCACCTCAGTTGCCTTCAAACCAGGGCGTCTTTTTGGCCACCTTTTGTGGAAAATCGTTTGACCCCTCGTAGTGAGGGATTCTTTTCAAGGGGTTCGCCCATTTTCGTTCACAAAAGGCGGCAAAATTGAACCCCTGCTTCAAACAGGATTCAGCTCACCTCAGTTGGCCGATTCCAAGTGGACCGTGGCTTCAAGGCCGTGCAGCGGCTCAGTGATGGGGTAGAAGGCTGGCGGCTGCAGACCGTTGGAGGTGTCCTCTCTTTGCTGATGTGAAAAAGAACAAGAAGAAGCCAGCGGGTAGGCGTTTCTCCGGATGGTTGGTGAAAAAGTTATGGGCTGTTCCCTCCAAACACAGCTTCCTGCTGTTTGCTGCAGGCAGCCGTGAATGCAAACTTTTCCGCTGCAGCGCAGATCAGCTCTGCTTCCCTTTCTTTTCTGCAGGCGAGTGGCCCAGGTCGGATAGTGCAACTTCTGGCTGCAACTTGAGTTTGCAGCTGGCCAGAAACTTCTCGGCTCAGCCGGCGGATCAAAGCCTTTGGCCATGAGCTTTTTCGAGAAGCTCACCAAGCGGGCACAGCAAGTGGCTGCTTGGCTGGACGTGGGGGCTCAAGAGCTAGCATGCCTGCATGAGTATGCACCTTGTAGATTGAAGAGTGTCGGGGGTTCCAGCAACTCCAGGGGTTCCAGGGCATCACTCATCACCATGGCTGGCCAAACGCTTCAGTCGACAAGGTTCTGCTTTGACCCACTGATCGTGCAGGGGCATCACTCAATGGCAGCTAGGTGCCCTTTCTCACCGTTTTTTTTTGGGGGGGGAGATTCGGTTCCCCTACAAAAATAGACACCGAAAAAAGTTGGTATGCTGCTTCGTGTCTCATGAGCCCAGGACTCCCTGCTGTGCGTGGGCTTAGACCCCCACCGCTCAGAGCTAGAGGAGGACTCTGCAGAGGCTGCCTTCCGCTTCTGCCAGCGCCTCATCGAGGCGCGGCGCGACGCGGAAAGCGTTGGACTGGTGGACGGAGTGGAGTGGCTGGCATGGTTGTTGGGAAACAGTTTGTATTTTTGCTTATTGTGGTTTAGGTGGAAATCCCCACTTAACTGCTGGAAATTAAATTTTGCTCCCCTTCCAACGTCAACCAAGCTGGCGCTATGCAAGCGACCACTGCCTTGTTGGCATGGGCGTTTGCATGCCACGGCGCATTTGGAATGATTCCATACGTGAAGCGGCTGATCCCTTAGCCAGCCAAATCCCTGCAGGAGACCAAGGACTTGGCAGCGGCCTTCAAGCCCAACTGCGCCTTCTTCGAGGTCTATGGCGCCAAGGGCTGGGAAGCGCTGGAGCGCACGCTGCGCCTGATTCCAGAGGAGATCCCGCGGCCAGGCAGAAGTTGTCACCCAGAAGCTTTGTACCTCTTGGCTTGTGACCTTGAGCTCGGTCCCAACATCCATCCGCTCGCGCGAGACCAGGTGATACCCCAAGCCCTTTGATGTTTACATACTACATACTACGCTTGGGCTTTTATTCGCAACAAGGCTCAACAGGCTTGTGGCTTCGAAATAGCAAACCCGGGTTCAGGATTGTCCTCGACGCCAAGCGCGGTGACATTGGCTCCACCAGCGAAGCCTACGCCCAGAGTGCCTTTCACACCCTGCGCTGTGACAGCGTCACCGCCAGCCCATACTTAGGCGCGGACAAGTGGCAGGGAGAATGACTACATGTAGAATAGCATGCTATCATGGCTGTTTTGAAGGCATTGCGTGGTATGCAAATGTATGCGCGAATGCACATGCACCTGCCCGAATGTATACTGTATACAAGTGTTCAAGCAACGTGTATCAAAATTAGCGCAAATAAAGTCGTGCATGTGAAGTCAGTGGTGATACCCACTTTGGCCGTTCCCATCAGCCTCTGTACGGAGAAGTGTGTGAAGTGTTTGTTGCGGCTGACCACTAGCCTTGCAGTCGGCGAGCACCTGCTTTGCCAAGTGTTTCTGAAGGCTAAGCCAAGAGCCAATGGACCTGCATGGCAAAGGGATTTGCACCTGCATGTTGTTGCCACGTATGGGAGCAGGCTTTTGGAGATGGCCAGCCGGTTTCTCTTGGCTGCATGTGTCGGGCTGGCTTGCACCTGCTGAGGGGGCGATGGCTTGCAGCCGTTCCTCAAGGACGCCTCCAAGGGTGTATGGGTACTGTGCAAGACTTCGAACCCAGGCGGGGATGTGCCCATTTCAAATCAGGGGGTCTTTTTGCCACCTTTGGTGGACAAATGATCCACCCCCTTGTAGTCGTTGTAGTGAAGCATTCCTTTTTGAGGGGGTCGCACATTTTCTGACAAAAGATGGCAACAAGACCCCCCCTGTTTCAAATCCCAGGTCAGATGAAGCCAAGTAGCGCTCGCTTTGGACGTTGCTGGTTTTGGATTCACCTTGAGGCTCGCAGGACCTGCAGGCCTTGCAGTTGCCCGGCGGCGAGCCTCTGTTCCTTGGCAGGGGATAGGGACACGTCGATATTTCTTCCTCTACACAGGGCATGCTGGCATGCTTGTTGCCATGAGCTAAGGCCGGTATGGGGAAGCATGCTGATGGGGCGAGTGTGAAGATCCATGTGTTTTATTGGGAACAACTAGCAGAACAACTCCTCGGGACATGCGCGCCGTTTTGCAGGAGGTAACTTGTGGCAGTCAACGGCCAGTTCCGGGGGAAGTGTTGGAACGTGTGCGCCAGGGTCAAAGCTCTTTGTATCCCTCAAGAACGGGACCTCTACATTTGTTGTTTCAAACCTTTAGTAAGAGGTTGGGGACTCGCACTACCATTCAACCCCAAGTGGCTATGGCACGTGCGTCGCCCAAGGTATTTGCATGTGGCTCAGCTTTGCGAGCAGTGGGCGAAGGAGCACAAGAATGCTGGCCTCGTGGTGCCTTGCGTAGGTGCATTGAGTCCGGACGCCTTACTCGGCCGGATCATTATGCGACACTGGAACCTGATGAATGTCTAGCTTTATACATGACCCAAACCATGCGCAGGAGCCTGATTTTAAGACAAATCGAACAGGACAAGCCTGAAGCAGTTTGACCAGCAAAGCGGTCTTCTTAGACCCAATTATTTTCTGGGTGCACCACCGTGCAGTGAGACAAGCTCATCTTACATCAGCATTTGGATTTGGTGACAGAGCGAGTTGAGTACGATTGAGGGGCGCCTGGTGGCTGTGCCAGCTTGTCCAACCAAGGTGGGCGCCACAGATGTGGAGGCCATGCGGAAAATCAGAGCGAAGGCACCAGCGCCTTGGCCATTGGATAGGGCACGGGGCTTGGCGGCTGGGGCATGGAGGGCGACTCGGTCGTTGTTTTTGTAGAACCCTGAAGGCCTTGTTTATCTGACCTCGGCAACTGAAAGCAGCTCAAGGGATGAAGTATCACATCCCGATTTGTCCATCAACCAACATTTTTTTTGGGGTTCGACTATGACACATGGTGGAATTGGGGATGCCTCGCGTGAATGACGGAATGACTGGTGCCTTAGCACTCTCCCCGGCACCGGTCTTTTTCAGCCGCGAGGACGTGTGGTTCCTCTCCCCGGGCATCGGCGCGCAGGGCGGGGACCTGGCGGCGGCGCTCGGCGCGGGCCTGCGCAGCGACGGCCTGGGCATGCTGCTGCCCATCTCCCGGGGCCCCTCGAACCAAACGGTGGGTGCCAATGTGGCGGACCTGTCAGATCAGTGTGAAACAATCTATTAACCAGGCTCCCGGTCCTGAAGCACGTCCGCAAACCCAGGGACCACTTATAAGATTTTCTACGACCACAAACAAGGATTAACGGAAAAATCAGAAATATGGCAGCTAGTCCGTTAATTGCCGCTTGGGCCGGCTTGCGCCCAAGTCACTTCGAGTTGGCCCGGGAGCAGTCGCCTGTCCCGGGTCGCCCTGAAACTGGCCCTCCCGAAACTGCCCCGGCGACAGTGGCCCTAGTGGCCCTGGACCGGTCGCCGGCAGGGACCGGGACTTTGGACCCTGTCCAGGCTGGTCTGAGTCTGGCGCGGTTTGACTCGACGTATTGGACTCTCTTGCAGATTAGATCCAGGGATCCTCTACTACCACAAGGATTAGCGGAAAAGTCAGACAGACGGCAGCTCGTCCGCACGGGCCGGCTCGCGCCCAAGTCACGTTGAGCTGGTCCTAGAAACAATGCCGTCGGTGCCCCTCAACCGGTCGCAGGGAGGGACTGGGACTGACTTGGGACCGGGTTTCTGCAGCGGTTTGAGGTGGTCCGATACCAACAGGACTCGATCCTGGGACCGGTCCTAGGACAAAGCTGGCTCCCAAAACCGGTCCTGGGACCCAGGACCGGGCCCAGGACTGGTCCCTGACTGACTGCAACTAATCCAAAGCTGTCCCAGGACCAGTCCCAGGACCGGTCCCAGGACTGGTTCCCAGGACCGGTCCTGGGACCGGTCCCGGACCGGTCCTGGGAATACTTTTTGTGCTTTCGGGCGTGCCCCCCAGGGACTATCATTGATTCCAATCACTTCCAGTTGCATCCCACGCCAGTCCCCTCTGCAGGAGGCTGAGACGGGAGGCAGAGGGTCGGCGGATTTTCAGTTGTTGTTTAAGAAAAGCTCTTTTTTTGAAGCGTGCAGCTCGACTATCCAACCTTGACAACCCTGGATTTTTCCAATGGAATGCTAGAAGGCTACGGGAGGGGGATAGAGGCTGACTCGTATGTTCGACAGTCGTGAAAAAGCCAGACGAACTCGTTCGTGGTTGGGTGCTTAAGGGGAATGAATGGCTCGACGATTCATGTCCATTGTCTGCTAGGAACCGTCGGCAAAAGAGGAGAGCAGTCCATCAATGACCCAGGGTTTGCTTCTTTTGACTTTTTTCTTGATCGGAGAAAGTCCAGGGGAGGTCGTTTTTCTTTGGAGTGGAGAGAGGGGGGGAGAGGGGGTCAAAGATCATGAGCCTCTTTGATTCGGCATTGCCAGGATTTCCCCGGGGACAAAGCCAAGCTTTGGTTGAGGTTGCTTGAAGAATCGAGCATGTAGTTTTGTTTGGGGCGACCCCGCCGGAAACTTTGCGCAGCGAGCATGTGTGCGATGACGCGACCTGAGGCATCTCCAAGGCCGAGAGCCCCCGGAAGGCGGCGGAGGCTTTCCGCGCAGAGATGAATGCCTGCAGGGCGAGCGGTTGAAGTCCGGCCTTGAGCCATGCCAGGGGGCCATTCCTGTAGCCCTGAGGGGGTTTGTTGGGGCCGCTGGTTTTGGCAGCCAACAGTGGGTTCATCCATTGCCACACGTGCAATGATTCATGGCTTGCCTACCTGAACCCAGGAGCAAGTGTAGATAGAAGCCAGGATCCGGCCGTACAGTGTCGCCCGCAAAAGAGCAAAAGAGTCAAAGTGGTTTTCAGTGGCAGGCTCGCACGCTTTGAGTGTCAGGGTTAGGCGAATTCCTGCATCCAGGCTTTGTGCGCACGATTTCACTTCCCATTTGGCTCGTTGCTTTTGCCCGTGTCGTTGCACCAGGCATTGTGGTTGACTTCCAGAAGGGCCTGGAGGCAGGCCGTGCCTGCCTTTCACCAAAGGCCACCTGGAAGCATCGTTGAGCTTTTGCCTCCCACCCAGACTTGCACTTGCAGAGGGCTAGGAAGACGTCATGAATTCGTGTTTGAATTCGGCGTTCAACAAACTGATTGGAACCTATGTGGTTTCTCTTCGTTCGGCCAGCAAAGGCTCCCCAATTTTAGCCCCCAAAAGGTTCGCTTTTTCTCGCGTTTGGGTTGGCCTTGGCCAGGAAATCCCAGACGAGCCGCTGCGCACGGCCTTGCAAGACTGGTGCCGCGCCCAGCCAAAGGCGACAAACGCGGGGTTGTGGTAGACTTCCCCTGTCGGATCAAGTCTATGTTGGGGCAGTTTCATCAGCATCCCGGTCACCTATCCCAGTGATCCATGTCGGAAGTCTGAAGTTGATGCCCATCGTTCGGATTGTTCCTTGCCTTGGGCGCAGTGGGCTTGGCCCACGAGCTGTGCTGAGGGCACAGCGCATGAACGGCCACATGCAGGAGCTTCGCGACATCGTGAGCCGAGGCTGGTGGGCCGGATGTGTATAGGCAGCTGGGGAACTTGTGAGTTGAAGTGCGGATGCCCTCCTCAGCATGCCGCCCTCCTTTTCCCGGGCCTTGGGCGTGAGAGTGTGTGGCATCCTTGCGCGTTGAGAGTTGTCGACAACCCACGGCCCTGTTGAAACAGACACTTGTTTGCTCGGCTTAGGGAAAGGCATTGCCGGTTCCACGCCTGAACCTTTCCCTGCTTCCCAGGCGCGGAAGCTCCGGAGGCTGGCTTCCATGGCCGCCAGCCGGGCCCATGATAGCGCGAAGGGCCAAGTTGTTTCAGACACTCTGCGCCGGTCTTGGCAGTCTTGACTTGTGAAGCTTGCAGCGGCGTGGCTCGCATGCTTCACCGGCAGGCGGCGGAGAATCCAGACTCACAGGCGTGGTGGGGGCACGGGCTTGGCTTTTGTTGCACATTCGGACTTTTCCTCGCATTTGAGGGCCTCTGTGGAAAAGGATAATGGGGCTTCCACTGGATGAGTACAAGGTTTGGTGTGCCCGTTCCAACGTTGAACATCAGCGAAGGGTGTTCCATTCCGATTTGGCGCAGGAAGGGGAGGCGGTGGCTTCAGACGAGCAGATGCAGAGCGTGCGGATGCCAATCCACCTGAGCCCAATGGGGCAACCCCACAGAGTTCATATGTCAGTTTGGCTGACCTGAGTGAAAAATTCCTTTCCCCGATATCTGGCCAAGACAGCTAGCACCCCAAAGATTAGAAGGGCGTGTGGCGCGAGACACGCCAAGCTGGTGTGGGGGCTGTGCTGATGATTGCTTCCCCTGAGAAGGTAAGACAGTGTTTGAGTCGCAGGCTTGCTTCTGACGGGAATGCGATGGGTTATCCATGCGCAGCCCGTGTTCTGACCGCAGAATGCCCCACTCGTAAAAACACTTTTTTCGGCTCCTGGACTTGGTTTACCATGCCAAGTCCAGCATTGGCCTGCAGCCCAGCTATGGCCTAAAGTCTCGTTCTGAGGTGCGGGATTTGCGCAACCAGTTGGTGTGCCGGCCTCAGTGCAGGCTTTCGCTTGATTCAGTGCACCTGTTTGACCCATCCATGCTCCACCCGGGGCATCGTATTGTCACCACAGCTCGGTTCCGGTCAACATGTCCAAATCGTCTTTCGTCATTTGGAGAGGTAACAAAAGCAACGAGCGAGTGGTGCAAGAAGCTGTGCATGCTCAAGAGGAAATGGATGCAATCCTGAAGTGTGGGCAATTGTGCAACTGCCTGCGATGACTTAATCTCACCATGGTGTGGTACAATGTTTGGACGTTGCACCTGCTGCGCGGAGGAACAGAAAGACTTTGGGATGGCATGGGTTTAGGGCAGTTGAGGCAGCCATTTTCCTCAGGAGCCACCGCACTGGCAAGACCACGGAGGAGGTGGAGCAGTGGGCAGACCCTGAGGAGTCAGCCAAGGAGGCGCATGGAGAGAGTAGACGTGCCATAATATGGGCGTGTCCTTTGTGGGTCCCCTTCGTGGGTTTGTTCTGTCCAACAAACATATTCCCTCAAAAAGGCAAGCCCATATTGCCACGGCAATGATGGCCGTGTATGTTCAGGTTGATTGAACCTAGCTGTCTGTGCTTCTTTCTTTTTGGCGCGGAGGGGTGTGATTTTCCCAAATGGTTCTGCTGGGCTCTGGCAATCCGTTCCCGGGGCACAGGTGGAGGAGCTGCGGCGGGTGAGGCGGCAAATCCGCCGGGAAGCTTGGGCGCGGACATGTCCGGCTATGCCAGGGCAGGTCAGGGCTGAGGAGCGGAAGTACGGGAACTCTCGTTGGAAGGGATGCCCTGCAAGGGATGGGTTCTGCGAAACAGCGCCAGGGCTGTTAGCACGCCCCACCTCAATGCGGTTTGGAGGTGCTAACCGGAGATCTGTTGGTGCCCTGGCAGCAGGGATCCTGGGTGCGGCCTTGAGGTTATATCTTTGGGGGCATGCTGCAGAGCCTCCCGGAGGCTGGCACGCTGCGGGTCGCCGCCTGGCTCACTTTGACGGGACACTTGTGAAGCCAGATCCCTCGGGCCGGGGCAAAGAGCTTGGGCGGAGGGGCCATCAAACTTCAGATGTTCTTGTCCCGCTTGCTCGCCTGTTGTGGTTGCTTCTTGCGCTCAGGGCTCTAGCCGTAGTTTTTGGGAGCCCCAAGCTCGTCCCTCTTCGTGTGCTTTGTGCATCCGGGCTCCTGGATCCAAGGATGACCTCATCAGTGATGCTGGCACGGAGATGCTGATGCAGCAGGCAGCGGCGATAGCATAACTCCAACCTGCGTAGAGGTTTGGTGCGGCGGGCAAGTCCAAGTGAACATGAAAGGCACTCTGGGGCTGAGCCGCCCATTCAGCAAAAGAAAGCCATTCAGCATTCTCCTGCCACACATTTCTACCGATTTCTACCCTTGGCCATTTGGGGCCAAGTGCTGCGAAGACAAACCCTTGGCTCATTTCAGCTTTCTCAGTCAACAGCTTCCCGCGGTTTTGGGCCAGGCGAGGCTGGCCGAGAAGCCGCCGGCGATGCCAGGCAGATCCACACGCCCAAAACCTGGCCTGGCACGGGCACGAAGGGACCCAGTGGAACAGGGCCGCCCAATGTCTGTCTTCACTGCCACCGTGAGGTTGACACAGGGTGGCCAACCTCCAAATAAGGTGGCCCAGCCAATTTAGGTGCCTCCGCATCCCAATTTCAAATACTAGGTCCTGCAGTTTCTTTTTTTTTGGCATGCGTTTTAAATCAACCATGCTCGTAGTTGCTGGTCGAGGCTGCCGTTCTTCAGAACTTGCTCCGAGTGTAGGCCACTCTATTTGCTGCCATGCATTTTTGCTGCAAGGCTCCACGAAGGTTTCAAAGAGTTCAATGGTGGCATTCCCCGCATTTGCTAGCGAAGCCTGCTCGACGCCCGCTGCAAGATCCTTGCCCAGCCAGATGTGCATGCCACACATAGTGCAACGCTATTACTGCAAGGCACCATCCTGTGGCTACAGAACCCGTCAACTCACCAAGCAGCCAGCATGTGGTCAAAGTTGTCCATGTTGCTTGAAGGACGCCGGTCACTTTTTTCCAGTTTTCCCCGGCTTCGGCTGACTTGCTTCCTTGATGTTCTTCGGGTAGGTCCAGCAGCCCAGTACCAACAGGCCCAACATCGCTCGAGCGGTGCCTTTGCGCCATGCCGGGCGTGGGCTGCGGGTGCTTCCTGGGGGCAAGGGACCTGCACTTGGCCTGCTGCGACACATGGCTTTGGATGCAGCGCCCTGGCGATGTACGGCTTCCGTCTTGAGCTTCGGGCTCCGCAAAGTGCCCTTGGGCTCGTAGATGTGCCATCCACCTGGCCCAGCTTGGATTTGCCATGTCGAAGTTTCTGGTTTGCAAGCTGCAGGGTCCCAGAACTGCAAAGTAGGCTGGCGAAAAAGGCCGCATAGGTTGCAGGGGTGAAACATATTTCGTCCCAGCCGCAGGGCCCTTTACGTAAGGCAATCTACAGCTAGCATGAACATGCCGCTTTTTTGGCAAGCGGATGGGGCGAAATTCCAACCTGTTGAATTCAAAGAGATGAAGGCTTGGCCCCTGAGTTGTGAGCGTTTTGTGATTGACGCGGTAGGCCGGATTCGTGGGGATTAAGTAGCCTTGCCACCCAGAATGACATGCTGCATTTTGACAGCATTGCCAATGCCACTTATGTCATGTGGCTATGCCGCAATGCCTATTGTAGAACTCTAGTCCCTTTTTCTGATGTTGTGGAAACATACTGCACACATGCTGATGTATGATGACTGCCCATTTGAAGCCCTTGATATTGCTTTCTTGTGCCCTTTGCAAATAGTTAGCATTCCCACGCTCTGACGTTGTGTGTCTGTGTGTGTGTGTGCGCGCTCGTGTGTGTGTGCGCTCGCACAGTGCGCGCCCAGTTCCGACGCTTAAGTCTTCCCAACAGCGGCTCTTGCCAACTGCCGGGTGCCACCTTTCCCGACATCACGGCTGCGTCCTAAGCCGGGCGTGTGAAGAAGGGAGTTCCAGCAAGACAACTGGCTGCTCAGGCTGAAGCAGAAGTCTCGGGGATCTCGATCTGGAAAGTCTCGAGGGGATGACGGCCGCCTCAAGGGCTTACCGAAGGATGGGATTGGAGCTGGGGGGCTTTGGGGCTTGAGGTGCGCGGGCACAAGATGGGGTGGGCTTGCTGGAAGCGGGGCTTGTTTTACCAAAGGACCATTAAGAATGCCAGGCAGGGCTGCTGGCCTGGAGCATCTAAGCTGGGCTAAGCTGGGCGCCCGCGATTTGAGCAGCCCGCCTCAGGACCATTTCGAGCACGAGAAAGTTGAGGCGGAGGCGCGTTGACCGGCAGGCTCCAACTGCTTTGGCCTTTGCACGGCACTTGAAGCTACTTGCAGTCACTTGCGGTCTTTGGTGGGCATGGTCTCCTTTTGGTGGGCGACTTTCACGGGGCCGCACTTCGCAGACCCGACGTGATTGCCACAGGGCACACCGTTCCCCAAGAAGGAAACAGTGCCGCCCAGCGCCCTCGCTGCAAGAGCGCGAGGGGAGCCATGTTGTGGTCACCAAGTAAGGATCAGGGGGATTCCATGAGCTTCTGGGAGCCAGTGGACAAAAATCACGGGCTTCGGCCAGGTGAGACGTCGATTTGCCACAGGAGGTGTGCCCGACTCATTTTTTAGGCTGAAGCCAACGGGCCAAACTTCCTCTTCCGAATCCAAAGCGGCCACGTTCGAGCCGGGCTTCGAGCTTTGATGGCCGCATGATGTAAACCCAACGAGTGGAACAGGGGGTCACTGGATTGAGTTCCCCGAATCAAACGTTGATCAATTTACCGGCGGTTTCCCTTGAACGAATTGCCACTTTTTGAGGTTCCAAAATGGCCGTGGGTCAAAACCAAGTACACCGTTTTGGGGTAGGTGCACCACCCTTGTTAGTCTATTTCAGTGAATATTGAGATGTTCACTGGGGGTACGATTGGATTTTGAAAAGCCCATGGCCAATTGCAGGGACAAAAACCCGTGGACGTCCTGTTCCGGCGGTGTCGCTTGGAACCTGAGGCCAGGCTCTGCTGCTGGAGGCCTTCCCCGACGCGCCGCCCGCAGAGCTGCGCCGCTTCGCGCGGGGCTGGCCGGAGGGCCCCGCCGCGCCTCGGAAGCGGAGTGGTCGGAGGGTCCTGGTCCAAGTCGGCAAAAGACATTGGCGCTCAACATCTCTCAAGGTGGATGTTGAACTCACATTGAGCCAATTTGGAACAGCCTTGACTCATGGCTAGTGGCGAGTGGTGCTTTGAGGTGCCCTCCCTCCTTCTCGCTCCCTCCCTAAAAACTTTCCTCCCTTTCCCTCCCACTCTATATCCCTGCTTCGCTTCCTCTCCCTCGTTTCCTCTTCATCTTTTTCTCACAGCTGTGAGCGCGTTCTTTTGAGCACTGTGCTGGCACTCGGCGGCTTTGGGAGGTGCTTCAGGTTCAACTCACACGAGTAGCAGGCTTCGCGGTGGCGACATTTTGCCCCATGCACAGCATGCAGTGCTCACAGGCCAGCCTTCTCTTTGGCATCTGAGGCATTGAAGGCGTACGGGGATCACCTCAGCTGGTGGGCGGAGGGGCAGCCCTTTGAAGAGGCGGGCAGCCTGAAGTACTCCATTGCTTTTGGAATCTCCTGCTTGAAGGGGAGATGGCTGATGCAGGCAAGCAATTGTGATTTCATTTGGGCGCCAAGCCACTTCAAACGGATTTTTATTCTATAGCGGGCCATTTCTGGGTTTGGATGATGAGCACTCGACAGGCCCACAGCAGCGTGCCCGGGAACTGGCTCACCAGGGGTGGCCTTGCCAGTGATGGCTCCAAGGTGCTTTTGATGCAGCCCGGCAGATGCGGGCGGCAGATGCCCTCAAAACGGTTTCGAGCGGGAGGGCATTTGAACGTCTTCGTGAGCTGCACTGCGTGCTGCTTCATGGGCGCCTTTTTGTGCTGTTCAGTCGGTCGGGTATGTGGGACGAGTCATGCAAGCTTCTGTTCTTGAGTGCTCAGGCAGGTGGCATGCACTGACACCAACCTGGCGCCAGAGGTGTACTTCAAGGCCAGCGGCGTCGGGGTCGGGGTCGTTCGACTTCTCTTTGGTTGGCATGCGACCTGCTGGAACGCGGCCATGCGGTTTGGGCGTATGGCCTTTCTCTTGGGGCCTTGCGGTTTGGGGCCTTTCGGAGGCACAGCTCGAAACTGCTAGACGTCACCCTCAATCCCCAAACACCAGTTGGAACACCAAGCCTGTAAACCAGCTCTTATGAAAAGACTCCACAACGCGTACACCATGCGCTGGCCAGCAGCCATCAGCTCCCGAACACCGATGCCGGTTTCGCTTCGCATGTCAGGCGCTGTGCTATACTCTCGAGGAGCTGGTGCCGCGGGAGGATGGCGAGAGCCAAATCACCTTGCTGCTGGACACCCGAGGCGCCGACGTCAGACCGGTTTTCAAGCCGAAGTAGCGGGAATCAAAGGCGCACAGGTCCTCGGAATTGAAGCCAAGCTCCCTTGGGTAGCTGGCTTCCCTAAACTCAGCCACGACTAATGATTGTTCAGCCTAAAAATGAGGGGTTCATACCCGTCGATGATCATACACATGCGGCCACGTGCGGGTCCAGGTCTTGCGATGATGGGGCCTTTATGTGGGTCTTTGATGGTCTTTGCGTTGTTTGGTGTAGCGCAGTCCCTCCAGGCGGGTTGAGCTTGCGCGGCTGCGGAGAAGTCTTTGATACGGGCAGCCACTTCATGGAAAGATCAGGCATGCCAGAAAACATCAGGAACCCTCATTTCTTCTTCTCTGAGGGCACGAAAGAGGCCATGGGGAACACGCCAGGAGAACTCTAGACATGTACCCTCCCACTAACATGGCAGCTATGGGGAGGCATCTGGAAGATGAATCTCCTCAAGGGACCTATCAGGTGCCACGTTCGTGGGAGGGGGCGCTCAGCGGTTCAGGCGGCGCGGGCTGGCTGAACCCGAAGGCGACGGAGCTGCTGCCGCTGCTGCGGATCTGCGCCCGCCAGTTCCCGCCGCGGCTTGCGCTTGAAAAATCGGCGTTCGTTTTGGGTGGGAAAATCGGAGGGGGGAAGAGAAGGGGGGAGAGGGGTCCCTTGCAAGAGTTTGGGTATGTTTGGGTGCGTGCCAGCGACGCAAGCTAAAACCAGACCGGAACACCACAGGGGAGCCACGCAGACATGAGCAGGGATAGCTGACGCCCTCTTCGCATGGCACATCTCTTTTTCAAAAGCTCGCGCCTTGAAAAGGTCTGCCAGCAAACACATCAGGGTTTTGCATGTTGGGCTTACCTGGTTAGCTTGACTCGGCTTCTCTCGTAGCTTCTTCACCTTGCGAGCAGCACTCTTTTCGTGGTGTCATAGTGGAGGTGGTGACATGCTGCGCCATGACGCAGTACTGAAGGTTGACGACGCTGCCAACAGGAAACCATCACGTGATGTGAGCCCATCAAAGGATGACCAGCAAGCATGAGTTGATCGTGGAAGTGTATGTAACATTGTTCAGGAGGGAATGCAGCATGGAAGCAACAAAAGCAGTAGCCATGGATTCAACTGTCAGGCACGTCTTTCCGCACCGGTCACACACGCTTTTCCGTTGCCTATGTGCAACGATGCCTCGAGGAACTATCCGGGCGTTTTGCGGCGCATCATTGTCTACCCCGTGCCTGTGGCTTGCAGCCTTTTTGCCCGTGCCTTGGCAGATAAGGCTTTGGAATCTGGAATTTGGTAATGCATGTCGCCGGTCCCATCCAGATGTCATGGACTTGTGGACTTGTGGATCTTGTGCTAACGGCATCCATCTGTGCCGCTCTGTGCGCAAATGGCAGCTAGGTCCGAAGACGTCGTTTCGGTCAGATTCGGAGGCATGGCCCTGGCCTTCGTCGATGCCTGGACACGAGACCACATCGTCCTGATCAGCGAGCGGGTGAGTGGGGGTTGGGCCAACGTGCTGCGGGACTACGTGAGCCCCTCGTTGAGAACCGGTGTGGCCGCGCGGGCGGGGGAAATGCGCAGCTGGTTGAAATGATTCGCATCAAGTGGGCCCATCGACATGCCATGGGTATAAATAATACCTGCTCTTGGAGCCGTGTGCCAGGGTTGCAAGCAAGTCTGCGAGTTTCTTTTTGATCAGTCTGCCGCAATGCTTCTCCAGCGTGCCCAGGCAGGAACAACATTCCAGAGCATGCGCTGTCTCGCCATAGCAGCCTCTGAACAGCGCGCTTGAGATGCTGCCGCAATGTGAGATGAGACCTTTTGATGCCTTTTCCGTGGCCTTTGAGGAGCACCATGGCTGGGGGAAACGCCCCTCTCGAGGCAGTCTTTCTGCCAAGGGGGAACTCTGTTTTCTACAGCCATGCACCCCAAATGGCCAGGCATTGCCATCGCTTTTACAGCCATGCATCGCATGCGGCATGGCCCTCGCTGTATAAAGCCAGGGGCCAGCCAAATGATGCCGCAGCGGCTGTGCTCGCGGCTTGTGCAACAGGAACCTTGAGATCATGGCCAGATGCAATGACGCCATCTTGTGAAGTTCTAAAGTCGGCCAGAGGGGCACTTTTCACGTCCGCCAGCTGGCGAAAGGCATCAGCTGAACAGGAATCATATCATTTGTTGAGTCCCACTTGGCAGACCATGCTGATGCCTCACCGCCCAGCATAGAAGCAAGTGGCAAGGGCTGCTTGCGACTTGGTGCCGTTGGTGCAACGCATGCCGCAGCTAGAGTTGTTAAAACCCGGTCGTTGCAGAGAGGCTCCACTGAGGTTTTCCAGCCACCTTGCGTTTCGCCTTGCGGCGCAACTGTTGCAGCTTTGCCACTATTCTTTCGCTGGAAGGGTGCTGTCCCGGTGAAGGTGCCGGTTCCACATGAATGTTCATGCTTGGACGTGTTCTTTTGAATCCATATACGTGGTTTCAATAGAGTGAGCTTTAACTGAATAATCCGAGTTTGGCCTTGGATTCGTTGAACAATCATCGCCCAGATCAAGGAACACCCCAAATCAGATGTGACGACGTCTGGCGCACTTGGCTTCAGGGTGGTGAAACAATTCGCATGTGCTCGCTGACCCCAAAGGCACCAAGACGAGAGAGGCCTATCAGAAGGTGCCCCTCCCGCACGGAGCCCAGACTGATCGAGAGGAGCCATTTGGATCCTTGTGGTCCATGCACCGGCGAAAGGACACCCGTCAGTTTTTCTTTTTTTGGATGGGGCGGGGAACAGTTGGCTTTGCAAGGATGGTCCTGTGAGCTCGAGAGTGAGCGCTCCCGTGAATTTCGTGGGTGAATCCGAGGCGTGGCATCCCTTCCCACTGGCGGCGAAATCCCATGCCAGTGTTCTTGAATGGTTTCCGTGGCCATCGTTTTTCCATCCAGTCCGAGGCCACAGACGAAGCCAGAGGGCCATGGGCGGCCTCGATCGGGCGGGACTGAGATGCAGGGAGCCCAGCCGTTTGAAAGCTGACTAGCATCTAAGTCTACAGATGGTCAGAACATGTCAACCGTGTCATTTCAGTCATTTGTGCGACCGTGGCATAGTCTGGAGAGGAGACAAATAATCAGACAGGCCTTATTTGCGCAAGCTTTGATGAAGCGACACTTTGCGAGTGGCAATGATGCGCAGCTTCATCCGAAGGCAACTGGTTGACAATTTTCGTGGATCATTACCTGCCAGGGTTCACAGCTTCTTCTTTTTTGGCTAGCCCCTGGCAACCTACTTGGCAGACCACGTCTCCTTGGGAAGTTTCCTGGCCTTGCATGGACCAGCGTGTATGGCTTCTTGTCGGCTGCGCATAGCTGACCTAAGACCTAGTTCGATAAAAGCACCAGCAACTCACAGGCCGAGCGAAGGCCAGCTTGGTTTTCTCCCTCTACTCCTGGACATGATGCATTTGCTGTTCTCAACCGAGCCCTGTTCCAATCCCATGAACGTCCATGTCCTTTGTGCGCTTGACTTGTATGGCAAGTACACCTTCAGGCATGCCTCGATGTCGAGATACCGTCCTTGCATAGCACTCCGTTGGTGTCAAGTAGGTGGGCTCAGACCATGGGCCTGTGCGCGCGGAGTGCGGCCAATGTGCCGTGGGCATGTTCTGCTGCTGCGAGAGCAACCCCGAGGTGACGGTCGAGGCGCGAGTTTTTGGTTGCGGCCAACAGGGGCTGGCTGACAATGCTGACATGCCTCGGATCGCAGGTTCATTCCTCCCCGGTGCTGGATGAGGTGCGGGGGGAGAGAGGAGTGAGTGGGCCTCTTGAGGCATCTGCGCCGGGGGGGGGGAGGGCAGACGTAAGAAGTTCCTGTCAGGTGGGGTCGGCAATGGCAGAACCACCAGCTCGCGGGGCGTTTACCGCTCCTCGGCACATTGGGCGGGCGCCAAAGTTTTCCATTCTTGCATTCGATTTCGGCCCAGAATGGCCCCCTTTCCATGGCGCTGTTCAAGGGGCAAGCATTAACACAGCAAGCCTGCGGCATTTTCTGCGTAAACCGAAGGCACATCAGGGCTGGGTAGTGTGATCCCGGCAGGTTCTTGTTGATGTTATGTTCTGGGAGCTATCCCAAATCCAAAGCGGCACATTCTCAACTCATCTTGAGAAGGCACCCCTGGCAAGAATCATCTCGGCATATTTCGGGTTTGGTTGGGAAATCTGGCTGTGATGGGGCAATTGTCGTCCCGTTGTAAAAAGGCCTTCGCCCAGTGCCCACGTAGGAGCTGTCCAGTCGCTTGACGGGCGCCTGGCTGACCCTAACAAGTGCCAGTAGCAGCTTTGACCCGACGGCTTCACAGGGCTTCCGATGGCTCGAGAGGTCAAGCTGGAGCTGGATGACCTCAAGCCCCGTCTGCTGGGGGTTGCCTTGGACAGCACTGAGGAGCGCCTAGGTTGAAGTGCCATCCAAGGGGCGCTGTGTCACTCTTCGCATTTTGGTTTTTGTTCTTTCTGTTGTTTGTTTTGCTTTTGTTTGTCCATTTGTCCTGCGTTTTTGTCCGTCTGCCTGCCTGGCTGGCTGGATATCTGTCAGACTGTCTACTGTCTGCCTATCCGTCGGTCGGTTGGTCTCTGTCTCTACGGCTGTCTCTGTCTTTGGTCCTTGTTGACCTACGGAGGAAGACATCCCTTGACCTTCAAACCATCCATTCACCAAAGCTAGTGGAAGAGAGACTTGCGAACAGTTCAAAGATGCAACTTGCGTGTTTCCCATCAGCCTTAATTTTGAGTCGGGTCACTGTGGGACGTTGCCGCCACAAATCCTGCCAGCACGCCAGAGGCTGCGACGTGGACATTGCTTTTGGCTGAGTTGTTCCGTGCCTTTCAGGGGTATCTTAATAGAGAACCACTAGTCATCAGGCTATTGGGTTTTGAGCAGGCTTTCAGAAATAAGGTGATTCCGAGCATGTGATCAATCATCGGATGCGAAATGAATGGGCCCTGCCCCACCTTGGGTGGACAGGGTGTGTTCCTTGAAACGTGGCTTGCTCATCCTTGTTTCCTGTATGGTCGGGATTTGCCGGCAATCTTTGCAATGCTTCATGTGGGTCAAGATGAACTCCATGTTAAATGTTGCCGTCCTGCCTGAGGCTTCTGTCCCACTTCCTTTCGTTTCGCCGCCCCCTTCGTAGCAGCACATAGGAGCTTCGGCATCCAAGGAAAGGCCTCTTGATCGTGAGCATCCTTGATGGCATCATCAGCAAGTACAACGAGCGGTTCCCGCGCCAAGCCATCCGGAAGTACGATAAGATCACGGCCGTGAATGGTCGGGCGGGAGCCACCCGAGAGCTGCGGAGGTCGGGCAGTTGGGGCCAACTTTTCGGTCGGCTTTGAAGAACCCTCCGACTCGTGAGAGCTTTTGGTAAGACGAACCACCAAGCGATGGTTTTGTTACCAGTGTGCCCTCTCTGGACCATGGGACGCTGGCCTGGACCCTGGGCGGGCGGCCGGCGGGCATTCTAGTTGCAAGTCATTCGCAGGCAACCTGCAGCTAGTGTATGTTCGGATCTTGGAATTCTGCCCAGTTTTCTGAAATCACCAGCTTCACCAGCTGCAGTTGAGTCAGCTTCTCTTGGCGCGGTTTCTCTTGGCCAAAACCCGCACTCGGTGCGAGAGGCTCATGATCACCACCATCGCGGATGAGACCTCTGAGCTGCTGCAGCTGACGCTCCGGCGCCCGGAGGCCCCTCCGGTGGGGCTGGAGTCCTGGCGTGCGGACATGGGATTGGAGCTCCAGTTTGTTGTCTAGTCCCCCAGTCGTGCCCTTGTGCCCTTTTTTGGGGGAGGGTTCCCCCTATTAGTACCCTCATTCTGACCTCTCTACTGGAGGAGCTGGTCGTTACTTCCCTTTACGGTTATTCAACCCTTTCCACAGTGAGGAAAACCAAAGTTTCTCAGACCGTTCAAACAAAGGCTAGAGTGGGCAATGGGGCTTGTTTGGCTGGAGCTGCCTCCCGCTTGAGCCGCGTACCCGGATGTAACGGGATGTGTCACAAGTTGGAGCCAGCGGTTTGTGTTCTTTGGCTGTTTCAAACTTCCCTGGACGAAGTCTTGAAGCAGAACACGCACACACGCACACACTCGTGCTTGCTTTGACTCTTATCCTATCCTCCTTTGGGGCATGCCCTTGGGCCCTTTCTCGTTCCACCGGGTCGATCAGCTTGAGGTTTGCCCCGCCTCCTTGGCACCGATTTCTGCCAGGAGATGGAGGTAAAACTGCAGCGCCCGGGGCCACTGGGGCTGCAGGTGAATTACACGGACTTGAGCCTTGGTTCCAAGGGAGCGGTCGCTCGGTTGGGACAGACGAGATTCGTTGTTTCTCAGCTCTTCGACCCCCGCAAAACATGCAAAATATAAAGAAAACAGCAATGGCTCGCTTTCAGTTCAGTTCAATCGTCCGAGCGCCTTATCCTAGCGGCCCTAGGGGCCGAGCAGAGCCCGGCTCGGCTCATCAATGTTGTGGGGAATTTCAGCCAAGAAGAAGGGATGCATTTGTTGCGTGAATAGGCTGCACATTCATTGCTTGATGAGGACTGCTCTCATAGGTTCTGACTTCATCCTTGCAACAGTGCCGTGAGATAATTATGTAAAGACGCATGTCTTCTCTGTAGAGTCGCAGGGTTCGGCCGATGTTCCGAGAGGGGAGGCTCCAAGCCGCAAAATGGGACGCTTCCCATTGGGTGCTGCCAGCCTCGAGGCTGGGAGGCGTGCTCATCAGCAAGATCGCGCCTGGGGGCCTAATGGACCGCTGGAATAGCGAGCACGAGGGTCAGGTCTGCAAGGGCGACCGCATCATCGCGCTGAATGGTGGCGATTTGAAGGGGGAGGAGCTCATTAACAAGCTGAAGAGCCTTGGCCACACTAGTTGCCGGGAGTGCGACGAATTCTTTCTAGGGGTTTGGCTCAGTGTTGGGCATGGCATGCATCTCAGCCCGCAAGGAGTGCGGAAGATCTTCTTCTCACTATTCTGCACTACTGAGCTGCCAATGCCAGGTCGACATGAGACAGGTTTGGCAAATGCATTCTTTGCAAAGCCAGTGGCCAAAAGAGTCCTGGCGGCTTGGTCACGTCGCTTTGCCGCTCCTCCTATGGCAAGCCATGGAGGTGGGACCGTGCTCGAAGGGTTCGAAAAAGGTATGCTGTGCGCAGAAGCCACGCGCAAAGCAATGCAGGCTGTTGCACCTAGTGCTGTTTTCCCCGGGGGTTCCAATGCATCAACTCGCCTTGCTTTTCCTTCCACCGCTCTGCTTCAAACAACTGGCAAAAAGGCGCCAAATTTCGGTTCCAGATTGCTTTGTCCTTGTTTGCTGGATGCTTTGCGCAGGAGGTCGCAGCTTTGCAGTCTCTTTTCACACTTTCCCATGTTGGAGGTAGAGGTAGTATCGACGCCACAGTCGCTTCTGTATGCCCAGGGAGTTGCGATCCGAACATTTGGTGTGTCAAGTTTGGGCTCCTCATGCCGCCGCCTTGCCTTCCTGCTTCCCGAAATTGGCTGATTCCCTCAGAGATTGTTGGTCGCTGAGGCTGGTAACAAGCTGGTAGCTTTTGTTTGGTGTTCAATCCGCCGACGCGGATCGAATCGGCCTGCACTTTGGGAAGCGCTCGGCGAGGTCTTCAGTGACCGGCTCTTCGGCGGTGTCCTACGACTCTCAGGTGGGGCTCTGAGGGTGAGTCGTTTTAGCCGGTTGGCAAGTTGGGGGTTGTTGGAACGGTTTCGCTTGTCCAGCAATGGGGAATCTCTGTCCAACTCTTTGTGAGTGTTATGAGAATTGACTTCACTATTGGGTAGACCTCGTGAGGGGCCCTCTGCTCCAGAGCAGCGTTCACACCAAGCCCGGCAGTTTAGGCATGTTGGAGTTGCGAGTTCAGTCGCGGATGCGCATGGGCCTGGGCGTCTAGGCTGTAAGCCTCTGCTGGTTGGCAGGCCACCGATGATGAGCGCCGCAAGGAGAAGAAGGAACGTACCATGACTGAAATTAGGCATCATTCAGCCCCTCCCCCACGCTCAAACATGCAGGTTTGTTTCTGCTGTGGTGATCCTGCGAAGGGTTCTCGCTGTCAAAATGGCACAAGCGCATCCGAATCGTGTACCAAAATCAGACCCTGCCCCTCACCTGACATCTTGCAATTGCAGCAGCTTCCACCGATTGCACCTCTCTGCATTGGTCTGCAAACTTCATGTGCCGACTTTTGGGCACAGCAAAAACAGCCATGCCAGCGCAAGATTGGTATTGCTCTGGACAAATTTACCACTTTACTTCCACATATTTTGCTTAGTTTGGAGAGAACTTAGTGTCGGTTTGCAGCTTGCACCCGGCGCACCGTTGGACCCAGGCAAAAGCCGCAAGCACCGGCATGAGGCAGGTGGCTGATGGATTGGCTCCGGGCGGGTTTGGGAGCGGCGAGGCCTCCACTTGTTGGCTTGAGCCCAATTCTGCATGTAAAGTTGAAGACGAAGGTGTTTTGCGGTCCTGGCAATGATGGCTGCCAGACGCGGTGCTGGAAAGTGGGCGCTTTTGAGAGTTGATATCTGAAAGCCATAATTACAGGCTTCCACATCTCATGAAGCACTCGATTAGGAGGCTAGGGTGCTGCAGGTGACCCCAGAGTTGCTGAGTTGCTTGTGGAAAGCGCAATTTGGTTTAAGGTGATCCTCGATTGCCAGAAGAGGGGTTGGTGTGGCTGCTTTGAGCCTAGCCTGGCGTGTTTATGCGTGTTTACAGAAATCTATTTGTGCCATTCCATGGTTTGAGCACATGTTCGTGCTATGCAAAAGGGACGTTTGCAACCCTCACCGAAACCTGCAGGCTCGAGATGCGCGGCCAGCCAAGAAAGACGCCGCTGGCTCAGGGCGGTGGACAGAAGGGCTTGTGAGGGAGGGGTGACTTCAATGGATGTGGCTGGTCGTGCTGCTCTACCACGTGCTCGTGGGGGCTGGCCTGCGCAGAACATCCAGCTTGATGCTGGGCAGATGTGTTCCAAACATGTTTTGTTGCCGATGAGTTCAAGAGGCGCTTTCATTTTTCTAGCTCAGCCGACTGCCAGCCGGACGTTTCGTCTAGGTTTCCCGTGCCTGTCCAGGATGGTGCCTCGCCAAAGCCCTACAACTGGGCCGAGGAGGCTGGGGGCTGAGCTTCGGTCGAGTGTTTCAACATTCCATCAGAGGCGATTCCGATGGCAGAGTCAGAGAGTGACACGTTTGCCCCTCACTGGGCATGTGGGGAATCAGGTTCCCCTACAGGCAAATTTGACAGAAGAAAGACACCCTGGGCTGTGGCAGTCCGGCTGAGGTGGTGAAGGCATCTCTGGATCCACAGAACCAGTGGGAGTTTCCTAGCCAGAAGGCTGGCTACGTGGGGGCCTGAGTTAGGTGCTTGCCGCCAGAGATCTGGTTTAGAGTTCTGCCAATTTTTTCCGGGCCTTTGTATGACTTACCGCTGCAAGATCCCCCATTCACAATAGATGGCGTCCCAGGCCGCCATCCCCCCTGCTGTTTTTTGTCCAGCCTGGTGGGAGCTTACCTGCTTCAGACAGGACAAATCATCGTGGCTGTTTGATGCTGAACTCTCGTCTGACAAGGCCTAAGCTCTCAATTTGTAGGCAGCCTTTGGGTTGGCCAGCTACTTGTGCTGGCTTTCGCTGGTTTGAACACTAAGCATGGAGCATCTCTCCATCCTTGCTGGGCCGGCAGTCTGCTTTCAAGGTGGGGCAGCTGGCAGCTTGGGAGCAGCCGGGGCCGTGAGAGGTGTCTCCGTCCGTTCTTCTTTGTCGGTAGATGTAGCCTGGCCCGCTGGCTGGAATCCAGAGTGTGACATCTTGACGAAAAGAACCAAATGAAATACAAATGGTTTAAATCCTCCGTAAGACCTAGGCCCCGTAAGAACCGATAGAATGACTTTATGAAGATTCCCAACATCTATTTTTCTCTTCTTCCCTTGTCACAATGTAATTCCTGTAGTCACGGAATCCTTTCCAATCCTATTCCTTACCCAATCTTCAATCTTCACTGTGTAACCTGTCTTCTAATCATCCTTCTATCTCCCACCTAATAATCTCTGGATGTCTACCACCAACCAGTTAATCCTGAACCAATATTAGACAGGTGGGAGCTAACACAGAAATCCATCAATCAATTCTTCTTTCCAAGACTCAGGATCTCTTCACTGTAACCTGATAAGGAATCCTGGAGACAGATGAGGACGAGGGAATCTGAGGATTGGGAAAGAATCATAGCTTTTGGATCAGGATTCACTCTTCCCTGTATCCTGTCTATCCTAGATTCCCAATCCTAATGCAGCATAAGATAAAAGGCTTCTACAGCTATTACACAAGACACACAAAGATAAAGATGACATCATAATTTTCTCTTCCTACCGTCACACGTTGAATCCAGACTGTATCTCCTTCAGAATCTATTTACCAGGCTCTACAAGCCACATTCCTCTTCCTATCAACTGTCTATCTCCTCACTCATCCTTGATCACTAACCCGCCAATGAATGAAACAGCGCTGGAGCCATTCTATCTTCCCCTTCCTCCATTCTATTCTCAGAGATCTATCATTGTAACCTCCAAAAATCCAGGAGTAAATATTGCCTGTCTTTCAGGGCCTTCCACAGCATCCAACTAACCAGATATTACTTTAGGAGCTGCGACATGATGCATCTCTTCATTCCTCACTAACCCATTCCCTTCCATCTAATTCTCTTCCAACTGTCACATCTTAAAATCTCGGAAATGATTTGTCTTCTCTTTTTACTAATCAACTTTCATAATATCATCAATATTCAATCATAATAACTTCAATAAAAGCAACTCATTAACAATCTCGACATTAAATCCTGAAAATAGCTGTCCTCTGTTAATCCTAGCTTTTATGGTTGGCTTTTTCATATTGTTGATCTAATTTTTAAAAGATGAAGATATGCCAAACAATCCTATCTCTAAGTCCTGTAAGTCATTCCATCTTGGATTATTTCTGAGATTTCTTTGTCAAGATCCTATTCTCTACACTGTCAATTGAGTAGAATTCCTGGAGGTAGGTGTGGATGAAGGAAATAGGATGGGAAGGAAGGAATCTTCATTGGTGAGATATCTTCATCCTACATCCTCAATTGTCTATTTATCTCTTGGAATTACCTTAGGATCTATTCTTCATCTTCAATTCCAAATTTTCAAGTTGTAACAGCTATTGGTCATCTCTTTTATCTTTGATGTCATGTTTATTTCTTTATCTTTTTCATATTGTTTTGTTTATAATGTAAATCTTATTATCTTCTTTCTCTTTTATTATTGTTTGATTATATTTACCATCAGTCATTTCCTTTTTTATTATATATTTTGCTTGGTTATTTGTAGTGTCTTTTCGTTTACAATCAACAACCCGTGAACAGACCAGTGAATGGGAACCAAGGCCCGGAGCCAAGGAAGACGTGAAGCATGTTCCGAAATGGAAAGGTCACGGCACGACATCCCAGGCCCCGGGCGCGCGGCTCGGAGGTGGCCTCGCGTGCCCGCGAGCGCGCTGAGGAGGCCAGCGGTGGTTCGTTTTGAAGGAAGCCGAGCGGACGGAAATGTAGACGCGCCAATATGCATGCATGTGGTTTTGGGTCCCAACCCCGTACCCCCAGTGAACATCCCAATCTCCACTGAAATAGACTAGAATGGGTGGTGCACCTACCCCAAAATGGTACCATTGCTTTTGACCCACAGCCATGTGGGTATGCAGTAAAGTTACATCCCATCCAGAATGCCTTCTGAACATATAGCTTCATGCGTGGACGGACAAATAAGATGCCGTTGGCTTAGTTGGTGGCTTCAGGGTTATTTGAAAGATGTGTGCAGGTAGTTCTGGATTCTCACTGTTTAACGACTGCGCACCCATCTTGTCTACAACACGGAAGAATGAACTTCAAGCAGGTACAGGGGGGGGTCCATCTCGGGAACAGCTTGGGATCCTTCATTTATTCCTTCCTTCCTTCATTCATGCAGGCATACATGCATTCCTTCCTTCCTTCCTTCCTTCCTTCCTTCCTTCCTTCCTTCCTTCCTTCCTTCCTTCCTTCCTTCCTTCCTTCCTTCCTTCCTTCCTTCCTTCCTGTTCGTTTCATGTCATCATTTCATTTCATTGCATGTCATTTCATGCCATTTCATTTCATGTCATGTCATGTCATTTTATTTCATTTCATTTCGTTCTTTGTTCGTTCATTTCATCGCATTTCATTCCATTCCATTTCGTTCATTCATTTGCTCGCTCGCTCTTTCATTCACAGCTTTTGTTTGCAATTTACGTCGGTGCGCATGATTGCGCATGCATGTGTGCGTGGGGGCGCCGCCTGCTGGCGTGTAGGTGCAGCGCTGGGAGAGGGAGCGGCACCATGACGCGCAGTCGCAGCCCGGGGGCCCACTGAGCAAGTAAGTGTTTTCGGAGAAGGCTTTGGCATTTTGTTGATTATCTGGGGACTCCATCCTGTGCCAGGATGGAACGAAAGGCAAGACATGTTCCAGCAGCCGCAGCAGTTTATTAGGTGCTCGGACCGAGCCAGGGCATGCTGAATAACTTTCTCCGATACCAACGGAATCCCCCTCAGGATGACGCAATAGTGATACCAATCACCCTTAGCCTTGATTCTGCACATTGCCAGCAGGAAGTATCAAACTGGTGCTTTTCTTTTTGGTGTAAAGGAGTCTGCTCCCCGTAGCCTCCTTTGTTGCATCACTCCATCGGTCCGCCGTGTTTTGGCATTTCTCGCCATGTTCACCTCCGGGCTGGGTTTCGACACAGCAAGGCATACACCTGTGATAAAGATGGCACCTTTGGCATCACAGAAATTACCATGAGAAATTACCATGTGCGAGGACCCAACAAGTTTCGTAGTGCAGCTTGAAGCTGGAGCAGAGCAAGAACGTCTCATGATCTCATTTGCTCCCACCCACGGCATGCAATTGGTGTAGATGTCCCGTCTACACAAGTCCTTCTTGAACCATAGCATGCTCATGTTTTTCCAAAACATTATCCAAGCTGGCCCCAGGCCTCAGGGGTATATTTGTTGTCTCGCTTGGCCTGTGTTTTCAAGACGCTTGAGCTTGTCATTGCCATCCGCGTTCTGCCAAGCCACGCTGTTATGCATTTCTTTGGTGGGGCGACAGGGCGGAAATCGATTGGCTGACATCGGCCGATGCTAGATGTGCGAAGGAAGCCTGGCGCTTGTAGGCTGGTTCCTTCGGGTCTTGAGTGACACCACCCGAGGCAATACATCTTCGGCACGCCCCGAGGATACTGAGCCGAGCCTCAGGGTGTCATGGCTTGGAGTGCAACATGTGCCCTGAGATTGGTTGGCAGCGCCGAAAACCCACCAGGATCATGTAGCAGGTTCTACTACCTCATTTCATGGGGGTTAAGCGGGCGCTGCTTCAAGTGTGGTGGCTGTTTGTTGCGAGTCGTTTTTTGCTGAATATCTTGGGCCGCATGGCGATACGATGCGATACGTCTTATGCTTGCTTCAGCTGTCAAGCCGTGAGCGAGGCGGCAATGATTGGACCTTCGCTGTGGCACAGCGCTGGGCTGGGGGTGCCTTTGAAAGGCTGCCCCTGGGGCCACGGAACTGCCACGCTCGGGGCTGCATTGCCGAAGGCAAGCGCCAGGCTTCTTTCTTGCCCGCCCAGGCCTAAGGAACGTTGGGCGGGCCTTTTTCGGCTTCGGACCATTGGTTGCCTCGAAGGATGCCTTTTGCAAGCAGCATGGATGCATGATTTCCATTTCGGATGAACCTCCCATTTACATGTAGTATGTCGCCCTTCCATCGTTTGGTTTCAGCAGAGTGCGGGTGACATGTTGCCTGCTTTTGATGGACGTTCTCTTTAGCTTCCGCAGCCAACTCGTGGTGATCAGCAGTAGCTCTGGGTCAAACATTTGCAAGGTATTGACCTCAAAAAAAGCTGGGCGCATGCTTCAACACATGCGGCCAATTTCGCACGGTGTTTTGGATTGGTTGACCGGGGGGACAACGCGCAGACTTCAAGGTGGGTTGTGAGGGGAAGGGTATTTTTGAGTTTCAAAGCCTCGTGGCCAAGCCGTCAAGACGGAGTTCTCACATGTATCAAGCTTTTTTGCCGCGTGGCTGCTTCTGCTGCCAACACGGCATGCAGAGCAGACAGCTGTACCCCTGCTTGCAAGGAGCCAAATCCAAGAAACAGAAGGGCTGAGCAGCTTGCGCAAGCTGAGCTCGCCGGGTCGTGTGCACCTGTTCAGCTGGGTTCTTCGGGGCTAAAAATCACTTGCTGTGGGGTCTCAGCGGGCGATCTGCCGGACGAATTGCGCAGTGGGCCTCCATTACAGCCAAGACTGATCTGGTGGCGGTCCGCCGAGGTGAGAGCGCCTGGATCGAAAGGGCGTGCCAGGATCGTTATGCCCAAGGCCAAGTAGAATCAGAAAACGGCTGGAATGCAATGCGGGCACCGGCGGGGGTTGCTTCACCTTTAGCGTGAGGGGAGGGTTCACTTTTCACCTCTAGTCATGAATCAATGCTGGAAGGGGGCCCAGTGCTCTTTCTGCAAACTGGGTTGTGCACGAGTCTGTGCAGGCACCGCTCAGAAACCTTGCACCTTGCCTTTGTGGCCGTGCCCTGTTGGCTCGAAGTGCACAATGGCGCGGCGGGGTCGGGGGACGTGCAGGCGCGTGGGGCGTTTGCGGCCGCGTGGCGTAAGGTCTCTCACGAAGCAAGGGCCCAGCCCAAGAGGAATTTTGTTTGGCGGGGGTAAGGCCCACTGCCGGGGTGCCTATCCCAGAAGGGAACTGGTACCCTGTGGTAGTAGAGGTCGTTGATTTGGTCCCTGGATCTTTTCCGGAGAGAGTCCAATATGCCAATATGGAGGATTGGAGGATGGATTGTCCCTGGTGGCTTGTGTTGACTGTGAATCCTTTGAAGCGGTCTGCAAGCCTTTTTATCACTGTACCATGAGTCGAATGACTGTACAAATGACTTGAAGGGCCTTGAGCCAAACATGTCAGCGGAGTGTGTGAATAGGTCAATGTGCGTAACCAAAAGCAACACAAAACAGACACAAATTTCTTTTGACCTTTCACACCGAAAGTGTACGATTGGCTTCTTGGCCTTATGTGCCGTAGGCATACTTGAAAGTGTCGGCCGTAGCCATATATGGTTACAATGATTCATCCAATTTTGGCGCGGATGATTTGTCATGTGAGCAAAATGGAAAACAGTCTGTACTGATTTTGTGAGATACCTAGATGTATCGAAAGGTGATGCACAACGCTATGTACATGCGGGACGAATGTGAAACTATTGATCTCTCACTGAATAGTCTTGTTGGCGGTGAGGATCAATCTGGTTGTAGTTCGTAGTGCTGATCGTGTGAGTCTTCTGGGTCGGTCGAATGAGTGCCAAAGGTGGCTGCTTCATCAAGTGATCAGCGGTACCACCGACGGCTGCTGTCGGATTGACTGCCATAGTCTCCATAATCATTCCAGGTCGAGTCGCCATAGTCCTTCCATTGCTTTGGATTGCCCCAGTACTGCTTGTTGTAGTCTTTGTACTCTTGCTGAGTCCAGGATTGCTTCTTCTTGAGGTGCTCCTTGGATCTCTCAAAGTTGCGTTGCCTGGCGGCAGATCTGCTGCGGATGTATACCATCAGCGGACTGTGCGAGTCGGAATCTTGTGGGCCATTCATGAACATATCGTTGTTCACGTGCTTGAAGCGTTCCGCGGATGAGACCGGATAGTCGAAAATGGCAGACGTTGGATCGTTCCGCATGGCTTCCAGTTGTTTATCTCTCATGGCGTTCATCTCTTCCTTCCGGAAAACCTGCTGGATATTCGTTTTGCCCCATCCAAACACGAATGTCATCATCAGTGATGACGGACAATGGATTTTGGGGTGCATGAAGTCTCCATTGCATACTCCATTCTGTCCACGAGTGGCAGATTCTCCGTCTCATTCCACAATCTCTGGTATGCCTTCATGAGGATATTCATGAGACCATTGGCCGGCCGGATTGAAGACGTGCTGGAGTCTGCTGTAGGTATTCGCGGATTTGTTGGCGTCTCCAGTGATCGCATCACATTGGTACAATGCCACGAGTGGCAGGATTTCGTTCTGAAAATCTTCCCGTGCTGCTCCATGGCTGATTGAGGGATGAATGTGGAAAACTCCAATGGTAGCAAACGGGAGGTCTGCCCTCGTTGCGTGGCGGCTGTCAAACTCCAGGAGTGATTTGTTGGATGATTTTGGGAGCATACCACGATTTTTGTGGAGAACGACAATCTCTTTGTTGCGTCCGTGTCCTTGGACAGTGGTGCGTGTTGGCAATCTCGGTCCGATGTACTTCTTGGACTCAGTGAACATGAATGGTCCCGTAGTTGCCAAGCAGTCCGAGGTCGGAATGTCGTATTCAGGATCAGTGGTTCCGAAGAAACCTGAACATCCCGAATGTGGTTCCCCAATTCTGACTCTTTGTGGAAATGTGTCTTGCGAATAGTTCCACTCTTGCGGAAGGTCCGCCGCGGACAAAGCATGCAATTGGTCTGGATGACCATTGCTTGATAACGATGCCCTTGTACCCGAATCGGATGAACGTCTTGATGAGTTCTCTGGATTTATCATCTTGAGGACTGAGGAATGCGTCTGCTTCATTGAGGCATAAGATGTGTGCGCTGTTCTGCATCATCATCTTCACGATTGGTCGGTCCTTCATCGCCATGTTGTACACTCCCTGCCGTCCAGCTTTGGATTCCAGATGGTCCACAGGGGGACGGTCGGTCTTCTGCATCAGCGATCCCAGGATATCGGCAAATGCTTGGATGATTTCCGGGTCGTCATGTGACCTAAGCTTCTTCAATCCAAGTGGAAGCTTAATAGGATATCCGGATATTGGCTGTGCCTGCCTGTACTCGCCCATGGTGGGACATTCTCCTCGATGGCGGAAGTAGAACTCTTCTTCTCCGAGATTGACGTCAGGATCGACGTGTGCCAGTGAAACTCTCTCGCATTCTGTCAATTTAGGATGAGCTCTCCTTGGATCCTTGCTGTACTTCTCCATGAAGCGGAGGAAGTTCTTTTTGGTTTCCACGAGCTCTTCCTCGGCGTCCTTCTTGCTCATTTCTATTTCGAGGTAGGTTTCCTTGAGTTCCTGGATGAACTCGTCTAGGTTCTCGGAATTGCGATACTCCATGACAACCTTTGGCTTGACGGATCTCTCCCCGGAGGGTTCCCTGTTCTCCTCTTCAACTTCGTCCTTATCGGTGGAGTGCCGTCGCTTCTTGGTCTCTGAGGAAGTATCTTTTTCCTTGCTGTGCTTGTCGGAATTTACATGGCTGAAGAAAGCATCGGCGAATTCACGGATCTTGGTGTCGTACATCTCAACATCTTCACGACTGAGAAGCTTCTTCATGGTCCAGTTGTTGCTCATCATGGTGCTACCATCAGGTTCATATGCTGCAACAATATTCTTCGCCTCGATGGTTTGTTCTGTCAGCGCTGTTCGCTCTTCGGAGAGTCGGATGCCATAGTCCTGGTCCTTGAGGAATGCAAGGATTAACCGTGCATCTCTTCCTGCTGGCACATTGCTGGCACATGTGTGAGTGCTGCTTCTGACTTGTCGTCGTCGAGGATAACGTCGTCGATGCATGCCATGTGGACGTGCGTTCTCCCCGAAGGGTTTGACTGGGACTTCCCAGATCTGAGCCCGTTCTCTATGATGCTGATGAGTTGATTTCCATAGGTTGCATGGAACATGAAAGTGATGGGCTTCTTCGCGAACGGCTTGATCTTTCTCTCTTCTTCAATGGATGGTGGCGCCGGCCTTCGCATTCTGTATTTTGCCTGAGCTGTGCCTTCGTCTTCATGGGGCGCATCTGATCTTGACGGATGCGGACTTGGAGGAATGGATTCCGTTGGAATTTCATAGTCCGGTTCTTCTTGGCGAGGCTCACTCTGCTGCTCGGAGTACAGGGGTCGCCCAAAAGATTGGAGATCGACTTGTCGTGTATGACCGCTGTTGCATCTCACGTAGAACTCCATGTCGGGATAATTCCTTGCCATTAGGCCGGAGTGCATCGTATGCGGATCTCGTGGTGAGTTTGTCGATCCATCGATTTCTTGGAACAATTTCTCCCCTTGCCTTGCGCTCCTTGTATGGCCCGTCCACGGATGGATGCACGAACACAATCTCGAAACGTGACTTTCCATAGTTCGGGAACATAGCCATCAAGAGAAGTCCTGGCTTGTTTCCAATGAAATTCCTGGCATGTGTAATGCAGGTCAC